TGCTCCAGTAAGGCCGGGGCCTGTGAGAAGCGCTTGGCTGTGAATCCCAGGAAGGGGAACTCTGGCCCACAGCCCCCTCCATCCTGCGCAGCCTCAGGACACTCAAACCACAGCCAGAAACACTCTGCCAGCCAGACGTGCAGCTCCCATGGCCACCACTTTGAGACAGCGACTCCCTGTGACAAGAAAACCCCGAAACTGGGCGAGGCAGGGCCCTCTGTCAAATGATCACCGGGGAAGACGCTATGGAGAGACAGGAAATGCAGGGACCACAGCAGGCTGGATTTCCAGCTTGAGGAGGGAGAGGGGGACCCTGCCGTGGGCCCTGACTGTGAGCAGGAGGAAAGGGTTCTCAGAAGCAGCACCCCGACATGAGGGAGCAGGCCTAGCACCCCTTCCTCCGGTCCCCAGCCCCTGACCAGAGAGGAGGCCGGCCCTCTGGGTCTCGCTTCAGATGTGCAGAACCCAGCGCTTCCGGCTGCTCCCTGTAACATCCACAGCACTCCGTGGGGGTCCACAGGAAGAAGACTCCCCCTTGAGGGGAGGCGTGTGGAGTGCCACTGCCCCGACAGCAGCCACTGGCCACTCAGGGCTATGGGCACCCAACATGTGGCTGGTGGGACGGAGCTGTATAGAGCGCAAAATATATAGGAAACGGCCAGGCGTGCCACACTAGCCACACCCACGCAGTCAAATCCTGCAGGAACAGTTTTTTTTTTTTTTTTTTTTTTTTTGGGAGAAAAAGTTTTGCTCTTGTCGCCCAGGCTGGAGTGTAGTCGTGCAATCTCGGCTCATTGCAACCTTTACCTCCTGGGTTCAAGCAAGTCTCCTGCCTCAGCCTCCTCAGTAGCTGGGATTACAGGCACCCGCCACCATACCCGGCTCATTTCTGCATTATTAGTACTACTAACAATTTTTGTATTAGTAGTAGTACTAATACTTTTTTTTTTTTTTTTTTTGAGACGGAGTCTAGTTCTGTCGCCCAGGCTGGAGTGCAGTGGCGCGATCTCGGCTCACTGCAAGCTCCCCCTCCTGGGTTCACACCATTCTCCTGGCTCAGCCTCCGAGTAGCTGGGACTACAGGCGCCCACCACTGCACCCGGCTAATTTTTTGTATTTTTAGTAGAGACGGGGTTTCACTGTGATCTTGATCTCCTGACCTCGCGATCCGCCCGCCTCGGCCTCCCAAAGTGCTGGTATTACAGGCGTGAGCCACGGCGCCTGGCCTTTTTTTTTTTTTTTTTTTTTGATGAGATGGGGTCTCGCTCTGTCACCCAGGCTGGAGTGTTAGTGGCGCAGTTCGGCGGCTCACTGCAAGCCTCTCTGCCTCCCGGGTTCACCTTTTCTCTCCTGCTTCGGCCTCCCGAGTAGCTGGGACTGGTCGGCTCACTGCAAGCTCTGCCTCCCGGGTTCACCTTTTCTCCTGCTTCAGCCTCCCGAGTAGCTGGGACTACAGGTGCCCGCCACCACGCCCGGCTAAGTTTTTTTTGTAGTTTTCGTAGAGATGGGGTTTCACCGTGTTAGCCAGCATGGTCTCGATCTCCTGACCTCGTGATCCACCTGCCTTGGCCTCCCAAAGGGCTGGGATTACAGGCGTCAGCCACTGCGCCCAGCAATAATTTTTGTATTGTTAGTAGTACCAATGATTTTTGTATTATTAGTAGAGCTAGTATTTATGGTGTTAATATTTGCCACGTTGGCCAGGCTGGCCTCGAATTCCTGACCTCATGATCTGTGCCCAGCTCGTGTTGAAGTTTGTTAGCCACCTTTGAGCAAGGGGCCCCATTTTCACTTTGTCAGGGACCTGCAAGGGCTGTCTGCTCCCTCGCCACCCTCGCCTGCCCTGCTCCTCGCTCTGCCCAGCCCCAGCTCCTGCCTCCTATTTATCTTTTTCTTTTTTTTTTTTTGAGCTGGAATCTCACTTTGCTGCCCAGATTGGAGTGCAGTGGTGTGATCTTGGCTCACTGCAAGCTCTGCTTCCCGGGTTCAAGAGATTCTCCTGCCTCAGCCACCAAGTAGCTCGGGTTACAGGTGTGTGCCACCACACCTAGCTTTTTTTTTTTTTTTTTTTTGAGATGGAGTCTCATTCTGTAGCCCAGGCTGGAGTGCAATGGTGCAGTCTCAGCTCACTGCAACCTCTGCCTCCTGGGTTCAAGTGAATCTCCTGGCTCAGCCTCCCAAGTAGCTGGGCTTACAGGCACGCAGCACCATGCCCAGCTAAATTTTTTTTGTGTTTTTCGTAGAGATGGGGTTTCACTGTTTTTCGTAGAGATGGGGTTTCACTGTGTTGGCTAGGCTGGTCTTGAACTCCTGACCTCAAGTGATCCACCCGCCTCGGCCTCCCAAAGTGCCGTGATTACAGGTGTGAGCCACCGCGCCCGGCCAGGTTTTTTTTTTGGTATTTTTTTGTAGAGATGGCGTTTCACCATATCTTTGGGAGGCCAAGGTGGACAGCTCACTTGAGGCCGGGAGTTCGAGACCAGCCTGGCCAACATGGTGAAACCTCATGTCTACAAAAAAAAAAAAAAAAAATCTCAAAAAAACACTTCACTTTGAAGTGTTTCTTTTTTTTCTTTTATGATACAGAGTCTCGCTGTGTAGCTCAGGCTGGAGTGCAATGGCGCGATCTCGGCTCACTGCAGCCTTTGCCTCCTGGGTTCAAGCTATTCTGCCTCAGCCTCCCGGGTATCTGGGACTACGGGCGTGTGCCACCATGTCCAGCTAATGTTTGTTTTTTTGTTTTTTTTTTTTTTTTTTTTGAGACGGAGTCTTGCTCTGTTGCCCAGGCTGGAGTGCAGTGACGCGATCTCAGCTCACTGCAAGCTCCGCCTCCTGGGTTCACGCCATTCTCCTGCCTCAGCCTTCCCAGTAGCTGGGACTATAGGCGTCTGCTACTATGCCTGGCTAATTTTTTGTATTTTTTAGTAGAGACAGGGTTTCACTGTGTTCACCAGGATGGTCTCGATCTCCTAACCTTGTGATCCAGCCGCTGCAGCCTCCCAGAGTGCTGGGATTACAGGCGTGAGCCACTGCCCTGGCCACGCCCAGCTAGTTTTTTGTATTTTTAGTAGAGATGAGGTTTCACCTTGTTAACCAGGACGGTCTCGATCTCTTGACCTCATGATCCGCCCACCTCAGCTTCCCAAAGTGCTGGTTTTCCAAGCGTGAGCCACCACGCCCATCCCCAAAGTGGTTTTAGACTGAGAAGAAAGTTGCAAAGCACCGCGCAGAGACTTTCCATGTGGCTTTATTTCATTGCAGTACCCTGATCTGAACCAGGAGGTGGGTTGAGCTGTGGCCTCAGCGGCATATACGTCCCATCCCATCACTGCCATGAGCCCTTGCGTCTCCTGTCTCCCCCATCTGGGCTGATCCCTCAGTGCATAAGGAAAGCTGGGGTGGGTCTCCCATGGTCTGGCCTTTGGAGGAGAGCCAGCTGGGGTCTCTGTGTGGCACCCCTCAGTCAGGCTGGGCTGCTCCTCAGGATTATGCTGAGGTTCTGCATCCCGGCAGGAGCCCCACAGATGGGGCTGCGTCCCACTGGGCCTTGGGAGGCTCGTGGCGGCTGCGTGTCTCACTCTGGTGACACGGGTCTTGTGTTTCGTCAGGTGGCGTCCACAGGTGCTCCGCTGGTTGCTTTTTCTCTGCCCTGGGAGAGGCTCCCTGAGGCTGTGTGGCTTCCTGGGCCGCCTCTGATGCGCCCTGTGGACTGCAACATCCAACGTGTCGCGTCTGCAACTGATAATTGCTATAGCGTTTGCCTATGGGGATTAAAAAAAAAAAAGGGTTCATTTTTATAAAAAAGACATGGGCTGGCCGGGTGTGGTGGCTCAGGCCTGTAATTCCAGCACTTTGGGAGGCTGAGGGTGGTGGATCACCTGAGGTCAGGATTTTGAGACCAGCCTGATCAACATCGAGAAACTCCGTCTCTACTAAAAATACAAAATTAGCCGGGTGTGGTGGCTCATGCTAGTAATCTCAGCTACTCAGGAGGCTGAGGCAGGAGAATCCCTTGAATCCCGGAGGTAGAGATTGCGGTGAGCTGAGATTGCGCCATCGCACTCCAGCCAGGGCAACAAGAGCAAAACTTCGTCTCAAAAAAAAAGACACGGGCTCTCGCTGTTTCCCAGGCTGGCCTCGAACTCCTGGCTCAAGTGGTTGGCTCACCGCGCCCAGCCTGTTGTGGGTTTCTAGCAGCACAGTAGCACGCGGCCGCGACGTGGAGAGTGCACAGTGTTCTGGTGGTGTGCCCTTGGTCTCTGATTCTCGGTGATGGATGTGCAGTCGGAGAGCTTGGGTGGCCCTGCTGGGTGTGAACCTGCCTTTGACATCGGCCTTGTAGAGGGAGTGAAGGGCAGGGTGCTGGACAGGGAGGGGTCTGTGTCAGGCCAAGGAACTTGGTTTTAGGTGTGGCGGGTTCTGGGCTATGGCGTGGCCGCCCGAGTGGGCTAGCCCAGTGGTTTTTTCCCATGGTAGACGTGGGGACACAGGCCCTGTGGAGGCTCCATCACCTGCAGTCACGTACCAGGCCTTTGCCGAAGCAGGACTCCCAGCCAGGCTGGAGCTCCCTGGCTAGAGCAGCGTCGGGAGAATTCCTGGTGGTCCTGCATAGCGCGGCCTGAGGGGCTTGGGGTGTGTTGAGTCAGCTGACCTCCAGGGAAAAAATGGGGAGATACGTGGAGGAGCTTGGGGCAGCCGTTTGCTCTAGGGTGGGAAAGAAGCAGGGCTGGGGGCCATAGACTCCATCCCAGCCTCTCCCCGCTCTCTGCCTGTGGTAGGACACAGCGTGCCAGGAATAGGTCCCTAGCAAGGTCTGTGTCCCTTCGTGGTCCACGGTCTGGGAATGTCTCTGGTGGTCTCCCCTGGTGGTGGGCTTGGGAGTTGCACCAGTTGGGAAATGAAGAGGTGGGAAGTTGATGGCATCACCTGTCCGGGAAGAGAGCGACGGGCTCACGGGGTGGAGGGTGGCTCTGCGTCTCAAACCTCTCTCTCTCTCTCAGGACAAACATCACGATGCTGCTCATGAAATCATCGAGACCATCCGGTGAGTACACGGCCTGCAGTGTGTTGTCTTCAGAGCCTGGGGTCGCTTCCGTGGACACCCGTGCCCTGCAGACTGTTGTGGGGATGGCTGCCGCAGGGGTAGATTCCTGGAGGTGTTGCGAAGTGGATCGGGGTGACCCAGGGACAGGTAGAGCTGCTTCCTCCAGCTCCGTTCCTGGCCAGTGGGTGCAGAAGTCCTGAGCTGGTGGGGTGTCCAGTGGTCCTCCAGGGGCGTTGCACTGCCTTCCTCTGTCTCCTTGTCAGTCTCCCCACTGTGGGTTTTGGACTGACCTTCACCCTCACGTGCCTTTGACGGCCTCCTGTGTCTGCCCCGTGGGTGCAGAGAGGAGCGTTCTGGGGATGACTTGGATGGGCAGGAGGAGGAGGCCATCCTGTCCTCGTGAGCTCCAGCCTGGTCTCCAAGGTCTGCAGCAGCAGTGCAGGGAGGCCCTCTGGGTGCCTCTCTGCTGCCCACTGGGAAGCTGCCCATGGTGGCTGGCATTCTGCCTGTCTCAGGTGCTCAGGGTCAGAACCCTCACTGTGTGGCACCTGCAGGGAGGCCACATGTGTCCATGTGGCCCTGGCGTCTTGCTGGGCTGTTCCTTGGCATGCTGGGTGTGAGGACACCGCCTGTGCACAACGCCCAGCATCTGCCCAGGCCTGCAGCTGCCACTAGGGCCATGCCGAGCTGCTCTTGGCCGGTGGCTCTGTGCCAGGCCCTGGCTCCTGAGGTCTGTGGTTCACTGTTGGGGCCCGGCAGCCTCTCCCTGGCCAGGGTGTTTGAGGATTCAGTGAAATCGTTTGTGTAGGTCGGCCAGGGTGGGCCTGACCCAGGGCCTGTGCTTAGAATGTGGGATCTGCTTTTTGTTAATGTCATGATTTGTGGACCAGGCAGTGGAGTAGGGGCCCCTTTGTTCTTGGTAAAAGAATCCTGGTGTTATGGTTGGAGGGAGGGCTGTGGATCAGGCAGCTGGGCCCCAGCCCAGCCCCCGCCCAGCCCCAGCCCAGCTGCAGCATGCTCCTGGCAGCCAGCCGCCTCTCTCTGCCTGGGTTTCTCTTATGGCAGCCAGCGGCCAAGACTGTGCTGGCATGAGCCTCTGTGGGTGCTCCTCACACAGGGCCGTGCAGTCTTTTTAAGGACGCTCAAGCCGTGCGCAGTGGCTCACGTCTGTAATCCCAGCACTTTGGAAGGCTGAGGCAGGGAGATCACTTGAAGCCAGGAGTTCGAGACCAGCCTGGGCAACTTGACGAAACCCTGTCTTTACTAAAAAAAATACACAAATTAGCCGGATGTGGTGGTGGGTGCCTGTAGTCTCAGCTAGTTGGCTGAGGCAGGAGAATAGCTTGAACCCAGGAGGTGGAGGTTGCAGTGACCCAAGATGGTGCCACTGCACTCCAGCCTGGGCGGTAAGAGTGAGACTCCATTGCAAATAAATAAATAAATAAGAATGCTCAGCTGGGCATGGTGGCTCATGCCTGGACTCCCAGCACTTTGGGAGGCTGGGAGGGTTGATCACTTGAATCTAGGAGCTGGAGATTGGCCGGGCAACATAATGAGACCCTGTGTCTACAAGAAAGTAAAAAATTAGTTGGGCATGGTGGTGCATGCCTGTGGGTCCCAGCTGCTTGAGGGGCCGAGGTGGGAGGATCACTTGAGCCCAGGATGATCACTTGAGACCAGTGGCACTGTGATTGTGCCACCACCCACCAGCCAGGCAACAGAGTGAGACCCTGTCTCAAAAAACAAAACCCAAACAAGAAAGAATGCTCCAGTGCTGTGGCTTCTCCAGGCCATTGTTGTCTGTGCAGGTTCTGCCAGTGATGCCCAGACGCAGTCTCTCTGGGTTAGGGTCTTGGTGCAGCAGGTGTGGAAGCCCCGCTCTGACCAGGCTCTTGCTGGTGGGTCTCGAGGTGCTCAGGCAGCAGGTGAATTGCATCTGCTCCCCATGGGAAGTGGCCCGCACAGGCTTCTGGGGTTGGAGGAGACCCCAGGCCCCCGGATCTCAGGCAGTGACGGTGAGGGTGCCTCGCCGAGGAGACCCCGGGCCCCCGGATCTCAGGCAGTGACGGTGAGGGTGCCTCGCCGAGGAGACCCCGGGCCCCCGGATCTCAGGTGGTGATGGTGAGGTTGCCTCTCTGGCTGCATGCTCTCCTTCTGCAGGGCTCAGAGCTGACTGTCTTGTTTGAACCTTGTGTATTTTCTGGGGAGTGCATCTGGAGCTTAAGTGTTGTAGGGAACAGGGGTCCAGGCACAGGGGTGCGCACCAACACCTGGGCATCCGTGGTGTAGGCAGAGGCCTCAAAACTCAAACCCCCTGGAGAGGCTGCTTTCTGCTATGCGTCCCCAGCACATGACCAGGGTTCTCACGATGTGACGCTGCACAGACCTTTTCTGTCTCACTTCCCCCAGAAACACTGATGACGTTGACGTTTTTACACAGCAAACACCATTCAGTCCCCATACGGCCAGTGTCCCAAGCGTGTCCTCCCACCGTGTTATTGGTTTTTTGGGTCAGAGTCTCGCTCTGCTGCTCAGGCTGGGGTGCAGTGGCGCCATCTCAGCTCACTGCAACTTCTACGTCCTGGGTGCAAGCAATTCTCCTGCCTCAGCCTCCCAAGTAGCAGGGATTACAGGTGCTTGCAACCATGCCCAGCTGATTTTTGTATTTTTAGTAGAGATGGGATTTTGCCATGTTGGCCAGGCTGGTCTCAAACTCCTGGCCTCAAGTGATCCAGCCCCCTCAGCCTCCCGAAGTGCGGGGAGGGCTGTTGTTTAAAGATGGTTCAGCGGTCCCAGGCTCTCCTCGTTTGGATGTCCACTGGAGAATCAGCCTCTCCATTTCTCCAGAAAAGCCAACTGGGCTTTTTCTAGAAATTGGTTTGAGCCTGCAGTTCAGTTTGGGGAAAGGGGCGTTTAAACAATGTCACTCCCAGGTATTCCTGTTTCAGTGCTTTTTTTTTTTTTCGAGGCGGAGTCTCGCTTTCTCACCCAGGCTGGAGTATAGTGGCATAATCTCGGCTCACTGCAACCTCCATCTTCCAGGTTCAAGGAATTCTTCTTCCTCAGCCTTCTGAGTAGCTGGGATTACAGGTGCCCACCATCACGCCTGGCAAATTTTTGTGTTTTTAGTAGAGACGGGGGTTTCACCATGTTGATCAGGCTGGTCTCGAACTCCTGACCTCGTGATCCGCCCGCCTCAGCCTCCTAAAGCACTGGGATTACAGGTGTGAGCCACTGCGCCCGGCCTTTGGTGCTTTTTTATGTGGCATTTTGACAATCCTTTGCTGCCAGTATGTGTAAAGACTGTTCCCTTTTGCTTGCCGGCCTTGCCTGTGCTGAGCTCCGGCAGCGTCCACGCGTATCCCTTAGCGTGCTCTGTGGCGCAGAACCACGGGTCTCAGTGAACGCCATACCGTGCTGAGCTCTGGCGCCGTCTGTGGCGCAGAACCACGGGACTGAGTGAACGCCATACGGCTGCTCCTTTCAGGCTGCTTGCTGCTTGTTTTTCTTGCCAAGTTGCTCCGGCCAGGACCTCCTGGACGATGTGATGAGAAGAAGTAACTGCAGACGGCCTTGCTCGCGTCAATCTCGGGGGCCTTGCTCAGTGCCTGGGGCTTTTCGTGATCTGTGTCGTGGGGTCCCCTGCCGGTGTCATCCGGGTGTGCAGGTGTTGACCAGGCTGGGGAGGGGTGACGAGAGGCACCAATAATCACAGAGGGCAGGTACTGCAGCCCTTCTGACAGGATGCTGTGTGTCTCAGTGTGGGAGGGTCTTGGGGGCACGTGAACCTGAGGTCGGGTCCTGGCCAGCTGGTTGGAGTCTGTGGCCGGGTGGGGACTTGGTGTGGGGTGGGGGGCAGTGAAGCTGCTCTCGGAGTTCTGGAAAGCTGCCAGCTGGACTTAGCAGGTCGAGAGGAGTGGGGGGCAGAGGCCGAACCCCCATCCCTCCCCGTTCCCGCCTGCTGAGCCGCAGGCCAGGCGGCTGGGGAAAGTGGGCCTTCAGCTGTCACAGTGGCTCGGTGACTGATCCCGTGCAGTTTTCAAGTGGAAGGCGTGTTCTTGCATTTCTGGCCTCTTGTGGGGTACTGTCGTGATGGCACTGAATGCCATCCTGCGTGCTTTCCCACCTGCCCACGTGGGGCTGCTCAGACCTCTGTCCTGGTTCCTTTGGTGAATTGCAGTGACTAATTTTAGAGTGAAGCAGCTTTTCCTCCCTGGGAGGTGCTGCGCGTGGTTGTGAGGTGCCACTGCGCAGTTCCCTCACGTTTTTAAGGGATTGTGGGGTGTGTTGGTAGGGGATGTTGGTGTGCTGTTTCCTTTCTTATCCTTCCTTTCTAGCCCTTTGTGTCTCTATGGTTTTGGTGTCAGGATGATGCTGGCTGCATAAAAAGTGAAAAAGTTTCTGTAAGTTTAGTGTTGTGTCTTGTCAGTGTTTGATGGAATTCACCAGTGAAGCCGTCGGGGCCTGGAGCCGTCTCTAGGAAGCAAACTCTGACAGGTGTAGAGCTGCGGAGCTGTTGTTTCTTCTGTGTCAGTTTCGGTCATTCGTGTTCCTCGGGGGATGTTTATTTCTTTGAGGCTGTTGGATTTATACCATTTTCTTTTGTTTTTATTGTGGAGACAGTCTTGCTCTGTCACCCAGGCTGGAGTGAAGTGGCAGGATCTTGGCTCACTGCAGCCTCAACCTCCCAGGTTGAAGTGATTCTCCTGCCCCAGCCTCCTGAGTACCAGGGACTACAGGCATGAGCCACCGCACCTGGCTCCGTTTTCTTAGTATCCCTGATTCTCCTTGCTGTCTGTAAGTTCTGCAGGGATGATGCCCCTTTCATGATTGGGTCCTTTTTTTTTTTTTTTTGAGATGGAGTCTCGCTCTGTTGCCCAGGCTGGAGTGCAAGGGCATGATCTTGGCTCACTACAACCTCCGTGTCCTGGGTTCAAGCAGTTCTGCTGCCTCAGCCTCCCAAGTAGCTGGGACTACAGGCATGTGCCACCACACCTGGCTAATTTTGTATTTTTAGTACAGGTGGGGTTTCACCATGTTGGCCAGGCTGCTCTCGAACTCCTGACCACAGGTGATCCGCCCACCTCAACCTCCCACAGTGCTGGAATGACAGGCGAGAGCCACTGCGCCCGGCCTTCATGATCCTTTTCAATATGGTGTCAGGGTCCAAGTCAGGTCAAAGAGTTTTAATGGGCTGGTTTGTTTCCGTCTCTTCATCTATGACCCCCTCCGCCTCATTTTTCTTGGCAGTGTTTGTTGATGAAGCTCTGCTGTATTTTGGGATTAGTTAATTCTTCAAATTCCTGTTGGGTTTATTTTATTTATTTATTTTTGAGATGGAGTTTTCGCTCTTGGTGCCCAGGCTGGAGTGCAGTGGCGCGATCTCGGCTCACTGCAACCTCCGCCTCCCAGGTTCAAGCAATTCTCTTGCTTCAGCCTCCTGAGTAGCTGGGATTACAGGCATGCAACACCATGCATACAAACACAATGCATACAAACACTAATTTTGTATGTTTAGTATAGATGGGGTTTATTCATGTTGGTCAGGCTGGTCTCGAACTCCTGACCTCATGATCTGCCCACCTCGGCCTCCCAAAGTGCTGGGATTATAGGCGTGAGCTACCGCGCCTGGCACCAGTTGACTTTAGTTTCTAGTCGATCGGTTGCTTTTTGAGCTCTGATGTGGCCAGTGGGTCCCTAGACCAGCCCTGTAGCAGGTGCGTTCACTTAGCTCCCCGGAGCCACCGGCGTGTGGCCTGGAAGCCATGTAAGATCAGTGTGCTTCAGTAACAGCTTCATGGCGCACGTCGTAGCCTGAGTTTTGAAGGCACGCCTCCTTTCTCTCTCCACTCTGAGTGGAGTGGTAGGGATGTTTGTTTTCTGTTGGAGAGGATGCAGTGTTTAAGAACATGCTGGTAATGCTCAAGATTTTCAGGCCTGTAATCCCAGCGCTGTGGGAGGCTGAGGTGGGCGGATCGCTTCAGATCAGGAGTTCGAGACCAGCCTGGCCAGCATGGCCTAACGCCGTCTCTACTAAAAATACAAAAATTAGCCGGGCATGGTGGCAGGTGCCTGTAATCCCAGCTACTCGGGAGGCTGAGGTAGGAGAATCGCTTGAACCCGGGAGGTGGAGGTCGCAGTGAACCAAAATCACGACAGTGCACTCCAGCCTGGGAGGCAGAGGGAGACTCTGTCTCAAAAACAAACAAACAAAAAGACAAAAAACAAAACAAAACCAAAAAAACCAAACCCCTTCTGATTGTTTCTGCTGCTGTGTTTCAGATGGGTCTGTGAAGAAATCCCGGATCTCAAGCTCGCTATGGAGAATTACGTTTTAATTGACTATGACACCAAAAGGTAAGCAGAGTCCTGCCCGGCCACTCTGCTCTGAGGACAGACTTGGCTCTTGGGGAGGACAGGAGGACGCATCCTATAATTAGCTCTTCTTAGATGGTGCAAGCTGATCTGAAATTTCCTTTTAGAGTTGGCCGTGGCCACCATAAAGTTATTTTGGTAGGAAATGTTTATCAACTCTTGGCAAAGGCTGTCAGAGGCTGGACAGAATTGGAAACTCCGGTTGTGGAAAGTGGGATTGGCATGTGTGGAGTCAGCCTGCGCTAGTGATGGCTCTTTTTATAGCGGGCGGCTGACGGCCAGAAGTCCGAGTTCCTGCCTGAGGCTGCTGGGAGGGCCTGGGCGACCTCAGGCTCCCTGGCAGCTCTGCTTCTATCTCAGTTGGGTTTAGTTAGTCCCTCTGTCTCCAGCCCTGTGGCTGTTAGCAGTTTTGCCCTGGCAGCTTCTGGGTCTTGGAGGAGGGTCTTGTGGGTGGAGAGGGGCAGGGCTGTCTCTGGAATGCTTGCTTGGAAGTGTTTTGTTTTTCTTTGAGAAGGAAGACATTCCAGGCTCACGCCTTTTTCAGCTCTTGGGAGTCTGAAATCAACAGAGTAGTCCTCCGTCAAGGGCTATGCTGTTGTGAGCTTAGGTAAGCCCCTCTCCACAGACAGTCAAGCCTAGAGGGCCCTGGCACCCTCCCAGGCTGAGCACATGGCTGCACTTTACCTGGCTCTCCGGCCTCGCTGGCATGTGGGAGGGACTCCTTTGTCTGTGGTCAGCGGTCTCAGCCTCAGTAAGCCTCGAGATCCTGTGCCCCTCCCTCAAGCCCTGCCCATTCCCTGGTTAGCACCCTGGTACCCCACAAGCAGACAAGCGCGTTGCTGGCAGGGTCCTCCATGCCGACCCGCTGCCGTGGATTTCACGCCACCTGCCCCGCAAGTCTGGGCCTCGCGCCACCCCTCCTCAGGCGTGATGGTGTGCTGGGCCCTTCCCTGGTTTAGTATAAAGGGTGTGATGCAGCGTGCAGATAAACAGCCGCATGGCAGGGTCCACAGGGAGGGGCCTGCAGGGCCCTGCACAGAGCTGTGTCTCCATGGAGTTGGGGTGCACTCACCCCAAAGCTCTTTGCACCCTGTGCTTTTGGGTTTTCACGGGGGCTTCTTGGAGACTTGCTTGATGATTGCCTCCATCTCTCTCTAAGCTTCTTACTGCAGCTTGGGCTTTACCCTACCCGGGACCTTACAACAAAAGATGCTCCTGTCACCTAGAAGTTCCCAGCCATCAGGAGCTTTATTAGGAACCGGAGGCCCCTCGGGTGGGTGGGTGTTGTTGGGCTGAGCCCTTTCGTATTAACCTGGGGCGCTTATGGCGCCTCACTTGTGTGTGGCCAGCGTCTGCCTTGGCTCTGAGCAGCAAGTGTGTCAGACGCTGTGCTCACGGCGCCCCTGCACGTGGGTGTGTGGTGTCCTTCCCCTTCGTGTGGGATGGGCTTAGCCAAGGCTGGAAGGACGTCCGGGACAGGCTGGGCAGGGGGTAATCATTGGAGCTGGGAGGACCACCTGAGGGACCGAGCCATTAGGGCTTTAGGCCAGGGACAGCCCAGCTCCTCTGAGCACCTGCATTTGGACATCCTGCCAGGGAAGGGTCTCTTCCCGGGAGTATGCAGAGATGATTTTGAGAGGGTCTGGTTGTCAGGGTTGAAGGCGGTGTGTAGAAGTGAAAACACAGGAAGGGCCAGCACTGCTCCCCGGAGCTGCCGGAAAGGCAGGAGGCAGCAGGCTGGCTCTGTTGGGTCATCTGGCCCTGGCCAGATGCTGCTCATGGACCGAGGCCCACACGGTGCCTGCTGGCCCTTCACACTACCTGGGCTACCTCCGCCCCTGTGTCCTTTGTCCTCCGGATGATCCAGGTTCTGTGTGGCCGTGCTCCCGGGGCTGTCAGCTGGCTTTTGTTCTTGGTGTTTGCTGCTCTTAAGTTCTCTTGCTTTATTCCCTGCAGCTGCTGCTTAAGAAAAGCATGAACCTGGCCTTTGGAGCGCAGGTTTTCCTATGAGGAAGGGAAAGTGTGAACCTTGGGCACACACTGCCCAGGTGAATTCAGGGCTGCCAGGGCGAGGCAGGAAGAGCATGAGACTGGGACTGGGGCGGGAGCAGGGGTCTGATTGCGCAGCCACGTCTCGGAGCATCTGTCAGGCTCTTGGGGTTGCCCTTGGGAGGAAGCTGCCTGCGTGCACGTGGAGGCGGCGGAGGAAGGAGGTGGAGGAAAGTCCCAGCCGCGCCCCCCCCGCACAGGTGCAGGTCTCCTCGGTGCTGGGGACTGGATTGTTCTCTGGCAGGGACCGTCCTGGACACTGCAGGGTGCCGAGCAGGGTCCCTGCCTCCATCTGTTGCTTGCCTCGCCATGTTCCCGGGGTCCCTGGTGAGAGCCACTGTGTGTGACAGTGTTCATGGGACAGGTTACCCCTCCTCCTCCTGTCTCTTGGTCTGCTCTGGACACCTTCTGAGGTGGTGGGACAGACGCTGTTGTCCATGTTTTGCCAGTGGGTCCAACAGGTTTGGAAGATGAGCAAGTTATCCCAGGTCGAGACTGGACAGACTAGGCCAGGCAGACCCTGCAGCAGGCCTGCCCCCACCCCGGAAGCCCCCCTGAATCTGGGCCTGGGCGTGGCCTGTGTTTCTTGTGGCTCACATGCCCCACAGACAGTGGGCGCTCCCTGGAGCACAGGTGCCCCCTGCTGCCCAGTTGGCCCTGCCCTGGATGCTGTTGGGTGCAGGCATTTAGGTAATGAAGGATTGCCCTGTGGCTAGGGCTGAGCGGGGCAGAGCTGCTGCCAGGGGACCGAGTCTTACGGTGGACCCTGCTATGCCATGTCTGACGTGACACACTGCTGACGTGTGAGTCGGAGCTGTTGAAGGACACGTGCACAGAGCAGTGCGGGCGTGGGTGGGGCACCCTCCTCTCTGCAGTGCTCCCTCCTCCTGCACCTGCCCTGTCAGAGGCCCAGTGATCCCTGGGACCCCAGCCATTCACCTGCCTCTGGCGATGGTGGCTGTCCCCAGCCAGGGCAAGGAAGACCCTCTAAGGCCGGCCCCAGGGGTTCCTGCTGTTGGGCCGGCCTCCGTCCCCCTCGAGCCGTCTTTCTCTCCTCACGCCTCCAGCACACCTGGACCTCAGCTTAGTGTGGGGAACCTGGGCAGGTCCAGACTGCCTCAGGGCTCAGTGCTTTCCTGCACCAGTCTCTCGGCCGGCCTCCTCGCCTGTGCGTCAAACCTGAAATCTCCATCAGGGTGGAAAGTGAGGCTTCTGCCAGAGGGGTCTTGGCCAGCTGGCTGGTGGCTGTCCAGGCAGAGACCGCACCGTGGAGCCTGCCCTGTCCGTGTGCTGTCCCTCCCATGCATGCGGCTCGCACTGGCCCATGTGACCAGGGCCTTCCCTTGCCTTTTTCAGCTTCGAGAGCATGCAGAGGCTCTGCGACAAGTACAACCGCGCCATCGATAGCATCCACCAGCTGGTAGGTGGCTTGCCCCTGCCCGGGCGGTCAGTAGTGGTGCCAGGCTCCCAGACCCCTCCAGACCCCTTATGTCACCACCTTGTGGCACAGGGCTCCCCTTAGAGCCCCCAGGGATTGGAACATGCAGCATGGGGGGACCGTGGTCTGTGGGTGAGTGATGTGGGGGCTACTGAGGCTGGGCTATGTCCTCGTGGGCCACGCCAACTGCGTGCTGTGGCCATGTGCCAACACAGAGCCGTCCGTGGTTTGTGTGCTGAGGCAGGGCCCTGAGGGTTGTGGTGTCTGCACATGCCTCTGCAACCCTGGGTTTGTGACCGTGGGCCCCAGCAGAGGCGGGGTCCCTGTCCTCCCCGGGCTGTGTGAACGCCGGCCTTCCCCTTGGACCTCCCCCACACCGCCTGCCTTCATCAGGCTGGATGCTGGCCTGGGCTGCGCCCTTGGACACCCCGGTCCTGCTGTGTCTCGTGAGGCTTTCCTCACAAAGGACGGGGGACACAGCGAGCTGGGGTGTAGCAGGGAGGGGAGCGTGCTGCTTCCCATGTTCTAGAAGGCGCCGGGGGCCCCTGGGGCATGAGGGCAGGGAAGCTCTTTCTTGAAGGTCTTGATGTGGAGGGAGTCCTGCTGGGGGCGGCATGGGCTCACTCAGCCCTCCTGAGTGGGGCTGGGCTGCCCCGCCCCATGAGCCTGCCACCCTGCCCCGGCTTCCCCCTTACCACGTGCATGCAACTCTGTGGGCCCCTGAGAACTGAGCTAGCTGGGACGAGAGGGGACCACCTCGGCCTGCTGCAGGCGGTGGGGAGGAAGGCGGGGTTCCAGGTGGTCGAGTCAGGTGAGGTGCAGTAGGCTCAAGGCTTTCACGGGGCTCGTGGCACCTGATGGGGGTCCCTTGGTGTCGGCGCCCCGCTCTGCTGCCTCGGCCCGGAGGAGTGATGGTGTTCTCAGTGGCCTGTGTGGTCTCGGTGGTCTTGCCAGTGAGGAGAGAGGTCTGTGGTGGGAGGAGGAGCCTCCGGGGACCCCTCTGAGATGGGGCCTGACCCTGGGGATGCTGCTTTGCTGCTTGTAGGAAATGGGGCTGGGTTGGAAACTGACCTGGGAACCTGGCGGCCACCCCACAGGGGGACGAGAGGCCCTGCAGCCGGCTCCCTGCTTCTGCTGGGAAAGGGCCTAGGTCTCAGGGGTGGAGGGGCTGGGCAGCCTGTAGCCGTGCGGTTTATGTGACATGGCCGGGCCACCCTCCGTCTGCAGTGGAAGGGCACCACGCAGCCCATGAAGCTGAACACGCGGCCGTCCACTGGGCTCCTGCGCCACATCCTGCAGCAGGTCTACAACCACTCAGTGACTGACCCCGAGAAGCTCAACAACTACGAGCCCTTCTCCCCTGAGGTGTACGGGGAGACCTCCTTCGACCTGGTGGCCCAGATGATCGACGAGATCAAGATGACCGATGACGACCTGTTTGTGGACTTGGGGAGCGGTGAGTGTCGCCCGCCACGCCCGGCTGCTGTGCACTTCCAGGCCACACGCTCTGCCTGACCCACACCTGCTTGGAGAAGAGTTTAACAGGGACTCATGATGTTGGCGTGGACGGCGCTTCCTTTTCCCGGCCCCTCTGTCTTGTTGTGGGTCCGTTCCTTTCCCCAGCCCTGACCTTCCCCAGAGCCCGGGGCTCTACCCAGAGAGGAGAAATCGCAGGAACCCAGTGGTTCCCAGACCAGGCCCATCCTTCCAGGTGCCCGGAGACTCTGCTTTTCCCTGCTTCCCACTAGCCGGGGAGCTAGACCTGTGCCCCTCTGTCGCTCACTCCCAGAAGCTGCCACTCGCTAGCCTGGGCCCCAGCCCAGTCCCCACCCGCACTGCAGCCTACTGCGGTCCTTCTCTGGGCACACCTGCTCCCTTTGCAGCGGCTGGAAAGGTCCCATGCAAAGGAAAACCCCAGGTCCCTGGGCTCATGGAGGCCCTCTCGCCCTCCCTGCATCCCCGGCCTCCCTCAGTACCCCTGCGTCTGGGCCATGCCCTGCCCCTCCCAGGTTGGGGCTCAGGGTGGCCTCGACGAGTCCCTACAGACCACCTCCCACCTGCTGGCATTCTTTCGGCCTCCCCCTGCACTCAGAGTCTGATAGGCGACAGGCTGTGCTTGTGAGGCGTCGTCTCCTCTCAACCACGGTCGGGGCCCCTTGAGACCAGGCCCCAGATGTGGGTTTCTGGCCCTGTCTTGAGCCCCGGCGTGGCCTGGCCGAGGCATAGATGAGTGGTCAGCTCAGGAACAACGTCATCAGCCTGACTCTTTCCTGATGGGACCACCCCATCCAGGCAGGGCTGACGGGGCCACCAGCCGACAAGGGTCAGATGGCAGAGGCCCCTTCTCCACAGTGTCTGCACTGTCTCTGGGCTTCTTGGACCTCGATGGACATGTGAACCTTGTGCCTGCAGGCATGCGAGCCCCACATCTGCCTCACTCCACAGTCCTGGCTTTGATGTGGGGGAGGGGCCCCGAGGGCAGGGACCAAGAGGACTTTGCACAGACCCGGTGTGGCGGCTCATGCCTGTCATCTTAGCGCTTGGAAGGCTGAGATGGGAGGATCGCTTGAGGCCAAGAGTTCAACACCAAGCTGGTCAGCGTAGCAAGACCCCATTTCTATTTACTTATTTAAATTTATTTCCAAATTTTAAAAATGCAATAAAAAGAATGTATATTGGCTGGGTGTGGTGGCTCACGCCTGTAATCCCAGCACTATGGGAGGCCAAGGTGGGTGGATCTGAGCTCCTAAGGTCAGGAGTTCGAGACCAGCCTGTCCAACATGGTGAAACCTCTTCTCTACTAAAAGTACAAAAATTAGCTGGGTGTGGTGGCACATGCCTGTAATCCCAGCTACTCGGGAGACTGAGGCAGGGGAATTGCTTGAACTTTGGAGGCGGAGGGTGTGGTGAGCTGAGATCACATCACTGTATTCTGGCATGGGTGACAGAGTGAGACTCTTGTCTCAAAAAAAAAAAAAAAAAAAAAAAAGGCATATCTGGCTGGGATCAGTGGCTCCTGCCTGTAATCTCAGTGCTTTGGGAAGCTGAGGTGGGAGGATTGCTTAAGCCCAAGAGATTGAGACTGCAGTGAGCCAGGATCTCACCACTTGCAGTCCAGCTTGGGCGACAGAATCAGACCCTGTCTCAAAAACAAAAAATTAAAAAGGCGTGTATGTTTTAGATGACTAGCACTTGCCGGCCCGGCTCTGGGCCCCTGTCCCTGTGTGCTTTTCCCGCTGCTGTGGTGGTGGCGGTCTGTGCCTGCTGTGGTTGCACCGTGGTTCATTCCCTGGAGTGCAGAGCTGCCTAGCAGGGGAGGAGAGGCGGCTTGACACCCCCAGTGTGTGCCGCTGCCTCCGCCCTCCTGACGCTGGCACATCTGCAGCCCCCATTCCCTCCTTCTCCCTTAGAGCCGGGGGTTGCTGGGTTGTGTGCTGACGCTGTGAAACCGCGGCGGCCGGGAGACTGTCTTGGCTGCAGGGGCTCCTCACTGCCTCTCCCACCCCACATCGAATCTCAGTCTAGTCCCGCTCATGAGCCTTCCTGGGGTGCCGTGAGATTTCATCCACCAGGTTGCTGCGTGTCTGTGTCATGGTGACGCGGGGATAATTTGAGGTGGACGGGAGCCTCTCCAGACCTGCCAAGTCTCGGGCAGCCCTGTCTGAACAGTGAACACCACATAGGGCCTTTAGACTCAAAATGAATTCTGGTTTCAGGGGCCACCAAGTGATGTCCATGGATGACACGTTGTGATGACCATCCCCTTGTGGGGGCTCCACTGGGGGCCTGGTCTCACCCTGAGTGACCTTGGAGCATCGGATATGTGTGGAGACTTGTGGCCTCCCCTGTGGGTCTTCATGGCTGCATCTTTGTGGCCTCTGTATCCGAGGCTGGCATGGCCTCCTGGGTGGCATCTGAGTGCTGTGTGGTATCTGATGGATCTCTCTGATCACAGGTGTGGGCCAGGTCGTGCTCCAGGTCGCCGCTGCCACCAACTGCAAACATCACTATGGCGTCGAGAAAGCGGACATCCCGGCCAAGTATGCGGAGGTGAGCAGGTCCGGGCGCCAGGGTGCGTTGGAGGCAGGGGACCATCAGAGGAAGTGATGCCCTGGGTGCCCCCACCCCACTGCTGGGGGACTCCGAGTCTGGGCGGCGTTCTTTCCAGGCCCAAGATGTCTTAGCTGCCTGCAGAGTGTGCCTGTGAATACGGTGCCCGCATGCCCTCACGGCCCATCACAGGCAGGCCTTCCAGGCGCTGCGGGGGCGTCTCTGAGCCTGTTTCACAGCACGTGCCACAAGTGAGGCGGGAAGTGCTCAGCTCCACCTCATGGCACAGCCCTCTGAGAAGTGGGGTGTTTTGGGTGGCCTGCCCAGGCGGGCGCATTGAGGCCCCATTGCCCTGAGAGTTTGTAATGGGCGTTTGGTTTCTTTCCTTCCAGACCATGGACCGCGAGTTCAGGAAGTGGATGAAATGGTATGGAAAAAAGCATGCAGAATACACAGTGAGTGCCATCGCTCCACCCTGGCTCCCATCACCGGCCCCATCCCCGCTCCCACCCTCCTCTTAGCCCCTCCTTTCTTGCCAATGTTGGCACATGGCTTTCGGCACATGGCGTGCCCCCTGGAGTCCCCTCTGGTTCTCATAGGGCTGCCTGGGCGTGGCCTCTGAGCCCGCAGCAGGTGCCTCTGTTGGCCCCGTCGCTCCCATCCTCTGTGACATAGCTTCTGTCCCTCGGCAGCGTGCGGTGCACAGAGGCGGTTCAGGGAACGGGCTCGGGGCTCCACGGAGCGGAGGCCTGTGGGACAGGCCGGGTTCTGGGCCGGCTGCAGCGTCCTTGGGGTGTCATCCCTCACTGGGGACAGCCTTGTTTGGACGGGTTCCTGGTCCTCAGCGCCGTGTTCTTCATGACAAGCCGGCAACCTCGGGGTGGGCAGTGTTCTCTCCCGCCCTGTTGTGATGCGGTCTGAGGTGCTCCTCCCGTGTTCCGTGTGGATGGCGCCGCGTGTGGCTGTCCCTGTGGGGTGTGCACTCCCCTCGATGGCTGAGTGGCAGTGGGATGGGAGTGGGCGTGGGAAGGGGATGCTCTTTAGGGAGCAGGAAGGACGGTTTTCCTGACCCAGGTCGGGTGATTACTGGGCCACAGCTTCCAGGAGTAGCTGCCGCTCCTGCATCCTCCCCGGACTCCTTCCCACCCCGTGCTAAGTCCTTAGACACCAGGCTCCACCCTGGTCCTTTCCACACAGAGGCCTGCAGAGCTGGGTCCTTCCTTGACCTGTGCTCTCCTCCTCCCAGTCCCAGCTGCCCAGGAACTCACCTGTGGTGGAGTCTGACGGCGCTTGGGGCCCATCGGCTCTGCCTCCCAGCAACGTCTCAGACCTGCGGACTCCATCCCCTCCCCGCCCTCGTGGGGTGTGGGCTCGGTGCTGGCGCAGCTGCTCCTGTGATGTGGATTGGAGGGTGGCTTGGGGTCTGGGGTGCAGGAAGGTGGGTGCTTCCTGTTCTAGACTTGGAGTCCCTGGAGTACAGAGCCCGCAGCCCCTTGAGTCCTGAGAGGCCTCCCTGACAAGGCGGAAAGAGTGCTGGGCAGAGCGGTTGCCAGGTCACCACCTTGGGAGGACGATGGCGCAGGAGTCGCCAAGCTGCCCAGCAGAGCAGCTCAGGACAGAACATGGCAAGGCCAACTCGTGATCCCAGGTGCCTGCGGCAACACAGTTCCTGGGTGGAATCTGCACGTTTGAGAAGCAACTGGAAGAAGGTGTTCAGGGGTCCTGTTGTCAATCGACTCTCACAGTTCAGAGGGACCAATGAGGGACACAGGTGGCGTATAGTTCCAGTCCTCTCCTAGGCGGTACCCGCCCCTCACTGTCACCTCAGCAGGGTGGATGGAGGTGTGGCCAGGGCTGTGTACCCTCCCGTCTGTCTGGAGCTCCCTGCCGAGGCGCCCTCTGTGGGCCTGTCAGTCGGGTCCTTCCTCAGATCGCTGTGAGGCCTCGGCATTCCTGTCATTGCCGCGAGTGGGCGTGCGTCCTGCCTAGCATGCATCCCTGGCCCCCACCTCAGACCTCTCCATGCTGTCCCACAGCACAGGTGAAGGCCAGAGTCAGGGTGCTGGGCCCCGATCCCTTGCTGGCTGGTTCTGCCCTGGGTGTCCTGGCTGTGGTGGTCTGAGCAGATGAACCTGAGTGGGGACACAGATGCATGGTCCAGGCATGGCCGTCTTCCCCTGCGAGGCCTGACATGGGCTGCAGTGGCAGGGACACCTGAGTCAGGCAGTGTCCTTCTTTGCATCCTCAGGGAGGGAGCTGCTGGCTGGAAAGTTTTGTTGTTGTTTTTTAGAGGCAGGGTGTTGCTCTGTTCTCCATGCTGGAGTGCGGTGGTGCAATCATAGCTCATTGCAGCTGTGAACTCCTGGGCTCAAGTGATCCTCCCACCTCAGCCTCCTGAGTAGCTGGGACTGCAGGCGTGCACCACCACACCTGGCTAATTAAAAAAATAATTTGAGCAAGACACAGTGGCTCACGCCTGTAATCCCAGCACGTTGGGAGACTGAGGTGGGCGGATCGCCTGAGTTCAGGAGTTCAAGAGCAGCCTGGCCAACATGGTGAAACCCCGTCTCTGCTAAAAATACAAAACCTGGCTGGGCATGGTGGTATGCACCTGTAATCCCAGCTACTTGAGGGGCTGAGGCAGGAGAATCACTTGAACCCAGGGGGCGGAGGCTACAGTGAGCGGAGATCGCACCCCTGCACTCAAGCCTGGGTGATAGAGCAAGACTTTGTCTCACACACACACACACATACAAATTGTAGCAACGGGGTTTCACAGTGTTGGCCAGGTTGGCTTAAACTCCTGTGTTCAAGCGATCCTCCTGCCTTGACCTGCTGAAGTGCTGGGATTACAGGCGTGAGGGTGCCCGGCTGCCTCCGTGTCTTTTTGAGGCTTGACAGCCCATTTCTTTTTATTGCTGAATAGTAGTCCATTGTCTGTATGTGCCACAGTTAATTCACCCACTCGCCTGCTGAGGCCATCTCGGCTACTTCCACAGTTCGGCAGTTATGAGCACAGCTGCAGTAAAGGTCCGTGTGCAGGTTTCTGTGTGGGTGCAGGAGCTCCACTCCTGTGGGTAGACACCAGGCAGCACGATTGCTGGATCGTCTGGAAAAACCGCCAGACCGCCTCGTAGTGCGTCTGCACCGTCTGCGTTACCTCCAGCGGTGAACGGGAGTTTCTGCTGCCCCAAGTCCTGGCCGGCACCTGGTGCCGTGAACATCTAGGGAGGTCATTGATACTTTCTCTTCCCCTCATCTCCTGAAGCCTTGCTGCAACGTGAGTTCCTGGAGTTCTTACCGATTCCTTGTGGTTTTCTTTTCTTTTTTTTTTTTTTTGACATCAGAGTCTCGCTCTGTTGCCCAGGCTGGAGTGCAGTGGCACAAGCTCAGCTCACTGCAACCCCCGCCTCCTGGGTTCAAGCGATTCTCCTGCCTCAGCCTCCCGAGTAGCAGGGATGACAGGCGCCCGCCACCATGCCCAGCTAATTTTTGTATTTTTAGTAGGGACGGGGTTTCACCATGTTGGTCAGGCTGGTCTCAAATTCCTGACCTCATGATCCGACTGCCTCTGCCTCCCAAAGTGCTGGGATGACAGGCGTGAGCCCCCGCGCCCGGCCTCCTTGGGGTTTTCTGCATTGACACTTGTGTCGCCTGCAGACACGGAACTTCGCTTTTGCCTTCGAAGTCCCTGTCCCTTTCTTCTCCTTTTCCTGTCCTCTTGTACTGGCCGGCGCGGGCATTTCCCATGCGATGTGAGTCATGGGGACAAGACGGTTACCCTTCCCTGCCCTGCTCTTGGTGGGCAGCTGAGCACCTGGCCATGGAGCACGGTGTTAGTGGCGGGCTTGTGTGGATGCTGTCCCTCGGGTGGAGGACGAGCCCGCAGTCCTGAGTGTGCGGCACGCGTTTTTTCGGTGCTGCTTCTAGTGTCAGCGCAGTGCTGTGGTTTCCATTCCTCACCCTGTTGCTGTGATGGGTTTCCAGTGTTGAATGTGTCCCCCTTGGTCAGTGTGCGATCCTGTTTATCCGAAGCGGGATTCTGCTGGCTGATGGGCCGCTGAGGTGTTTTCTGCCGTGGTGGGAGCTGTGGTCTGCAGTGCTTCCTTGCGGCCGCACCTGTCTGGTTTGGTCTCTGGGTGGTGCTCCCTCGGCTTCTGTTCTGCTGTGTTTGACCAGGACTTGTGCACCCAGGGCTGCGGGCCCAGCTCTCCTTCCCTTTCTTGTGGTGATTGTTCCCGAATACCCTGCCCACAGTGGAAGCTGGGTCCACTTGCAGTCCTGCCGGAAGTTCCCACATGGGTTCCTGGCTGTGGCAGGAGAGCCACACAGATCCCAGCACAGAGGATGGAAGCCCTCACCGTGGTTCCCAGCGATGGCCAGAAGGGCACCATGGTGCCTTCCTCTGCGTGGTCTGACTGGGCTGAGCCTTGCTCAGGAGAGGGTGGCTGTCAGGTGCGGGGGCTGCCCCGGCACTGCTCCCCCTTCTGCCTCATCTTGTCAGCGTTCAGGGTCAGCACCCTGCTTCTAGGGCCTGGGTCCGCAACATAGCTGAGCAGCGTAGTGTCTCCTATGGCGCAGGCGCTCCCAGCATGGAGCTGCGTTCGTGGTCTGAATTCCGTGCGGGGTTAGGTACTCAGGGTCAGGCCAGTGGCTCCTGAGATGTGTCTGGGAGCATGATTTGGGGGGAAGGATGGCATTCCTCAGGGCTTTGGTAACACGTGTCGGAAAGAACCTGGTGGTGGGGAAGGCAGGTGTCGATACCAGCCTCCACCTCTGGCATCCGTGCTGTTTGCAGCCAGCTCTGCTGCGGAGGGTGCGCCAGAGAGGCTTCTACCGACTGTCCGTGGCCCTTTCTGATGGGAACTTACATTCCGGTATTGGAGGAAAGCCTCGGAGCAGCTCTCTGTGGCTCTGCCCATGCTCTGCTTGGGAGGCTCCAGGTCCTCCTGCCTGAAGCGGTGTCACCAGGAAGGCTCCCAGAGACCCAGACTCCCGGTTCCTATGGGGCCGGGGTTCCAGACTCCAGAGGGAAGCAGGGTTTCACATAAACCATGGCGTTTGCAGAAACAGCTTTGGCCCCAGAGCCTGCCCTGTCATGGAGCGCGGCGGACCCCAGGGTGGGTTCCCAGCCCCAGGCCTGCGATGCGAGCCCGAGTCTGCTGAGTGCTGCTCAGGACTTGGGATCTGAGTCATTTCCTGGGTGGCTTGTCCACGGGGAATGAGGGATGTTCACAGGGTCTGTCAGGTGTAGAGAGGGAGGAGACGGGTGTTGGGGCAGCCCAGCACCTGCAGAGGCTCAGGATGGCCTGCGTGCGCACCCCCATCCCGTCTCCCCCCCTCCTGGGAACTTCCCCTGGCCTTGGAGAGCAGAGGATATATAGCTGCTCCTGGCTGGGGCGGGCGGCCCTGCCCTCTGGATCTGCATCTGGGTGGACGGGTGGCCCTGTCCTCCGGGCCTGGAGTGGGGGTGTCCCTGTCTCTCTCGGGCTGGGTGGGTGGGCCACCCTGTTGCTTGGGGCAGCGGCTTGCTTGTGGGACCTTCTCTGCTCAGGGACTCCCCCCCCATCCTGAGAGACACTCGGTGGGCACTGGGCCTGCGGCTGCTATGAAAGGAGTGTTGCGGGTCCTCCCTCGGCCCTTGGGGTGCAGGTGTGGGCTTCTTCGACCGTGACTCAGGTTGCCCTGACCCCCAACAACTCCGGCCCCCAGCATGGATCCCCTTCCTGTCTGTGGATGGGCCTGTCCCGGACATTTCACAGAAATGGGATCACACACTGCGTGGCCTTTTGTGTCTGGCCTTTTGTGTCTCTCACTGAGCATGACGTCCTCAGGGTGCATCTGCGCTGTGGCCTGGGTTGGAGCCTGGCTCCTGCTCCTGGCGGGGTCCTGCTTCCGTGTGCACGGCCTTGCTGGGCTCTGTTGATCTTTCATCTGATGGACACTTGTCTGCTTCCACCTTTTGGCTGTGGTGAGTCGTGCTGGCTTTTGGAGGCATTTGTGTCAGGCTTTTGCTTGGGTGTTTCTTTCTCTGGGAATGGAGGTGGTGGTAATTTTGAAGGATTTGAAAGGCAGGGTCTCAGTTATCCAGATGCTACTGCGTTGGGCAGCTAGGTTAATAAGAGGTGTTTCCTCCTGGACGGTGCTTGGTCTTGAGGTCTGGAGGTGGACTGGCGTCAGGCTGCAGCTGGCTTTGCTGTGAGCGCGGCGTGGAGCTGGGGGACAGCGCTGCTCTTAGCTCAGCAGCGCACAGGGGCGGACACCCCCAGAGACTGGCAGCTCAGCTTTGCTGTGTGCATGTTTCTTGCGGTTGGTGAGGGAGGGACAGAGCTCGGCACTAGGCTTTCCCGGCCTGGCCAAGTGTCGCTGCCTGCCATGGAGGGTGCCCCCCAGCGTCCTGCCGCCTCCCTCAGGCACTGCCTGGAGCCAGCATGGTGGGGACTGCAGGCCCTGCCTCGGGGCGCCCCTGCTGGCCACTTCTGGTCCTGGGAGTGGCTGCAGCCCCTGATTTTGAGCTTACATTTCTAGGAGACTGCAGCATGGCTGGCAGGTGTCTGTTGGTGTGGCTGTGGTCCCCTTGGCTGGGCCTGGCCTCCCCGAGTGGATGCTGGAGCACGAGGGCCTGTCCCGGCTTCTCAGGAGGTCCTCCCTGTTCTCTGCGCATCCCTCTCACCTGCACTTCTGCCTGCAGCTCCCAGGGCTGCAGCCGGTGGGGCCTGGGCGTCCTCCTGCTCCTTCCCTGCAAGCGGAGCTGTGCTCATTTCATTCTTTCTTCACAGGGGCCGGGGCGGGCTGGGGCTGCCAGGGAGGCTGGGGGTCCCCATTCATGCCTGTTTTCTCTTTTCAGTTGGAGAGAGGCGATTTCCTCTCAGAAGAGTGGAGGGAGCGAATCGCCAACACGAGGTATGGCCGGCATGGGGCGTGCGGGGCATGTGGGGTATACGCTCACGGGCGGGCAGTGGCCATGGCACTGGGGTCCGGGAATGGCCCCTCACTCCTGTGCTGGCTATGTCAGGAAAGAGGCCAGTGGGGACAGGAAGGGCGCCTTTCCCTCACCCTGGGTCTCCCTCTGAGGGCGTACAAAGCGGACATGCCCAGCAGATGTGCCCAGCAGAGCCCCTGTCAGCCCCTGCAGATCCTGCTGGCAGTGAGCCTGTTCCTGCTGCCCTATCCCCTTGACTTTGGGACATTGTGGGCCCCTCTCGCCTGGGTTCCTGGGCCTCCTCCGCGCTCAGGCTTGGTCTGGGGGTCTTCCTGTCTCCGTGCATCGCTCCTGGAGTGGCTGGCACCCACACAGTGTGCACAATGAGGGCTGCTCGAGGGAGCGGCCCCCCCTGGTCCCAAGCCATCTCGGCGCTGCCTGGGCTTGCCCCCTCCGCGCCGCCTCGCACCCAGGCCCAGGAGCTCAGGGCATTGTCCAGGTCCGTCCCCACTGCCACCTGTTTGTCCTGGTGGCTACCGGCTCTGTGTGGCTGGGCTGAGCCCCTGTGCTCTCCACTGCCCAGCCTGGGTGTGGCCACGGTGCTCCCGCGTCTGCCAGGGACCCTGGGGGCCCAAGGCTCTTGTGAGAGCAGCCAGCGAGGTGGGGTCAGCAGCCGGCTGGGCCCTGCTCCCCCAGTCCCACTGTCCTCCCTGCTCCCCTTGTCCTCCCAGCATTCCTTGTCCTCATGTCCGTTGTCCTCCCTGCATTCCTCGTCTTCCCCACATTCCTCGTCCTCCCCATGCCCCTCGTTCTCCCTGCGTCCCTCATCCTCGCCATGCCTCTCATCTTCCCCGCACCCCTCCTTCTCTGCATTCCTCTTCTTCCCCATGCCCCTTGTCCTCCCCGCACCCCTTGTCCTCCCTGCCCCCTCGCTCCTGCTGTCTTCCCTGTGCTTTTCTTCCTCTCGGGTGTGCTCATGGCTTATGGTTAAGTGTCCCCCATGGACAGGGTTTGGGGTACAAGTAGAAAATGGGAGTTTCTTTTCCCAAAAGGTTCCTAGGTTTGCTCTTCTGTGTGAACTTCTATTTGGGTTGGGGCACTGTGCCCACCGGTGGGTGTTCTGCCATCTGGAGGGAATCGTGCTGACCCTGTGGTATCCCCATCCCATGGGGTGGTGGTGGGAGCACAGGGGGACCTGCAGCGGTCAGGCCATGATTGCTGTCTTGTAACAAACTCTTAAGCCGAGAGGCTGGGCATGGTGGCTCAAGCCTGTAATCCCAGCACTTTGGGAGGCCAAGACGGGCGGAGCACGAGGTCAGGAGATCGAGACCATCGTGGCTAACATGGCAAAACCCTGTCTCTACTAAAAAAAAAAACATACAAAAAACTAGCCAGGCGAGGTCGTGGGCGCCTGTAGTCCCAGCTACCTGGGAGGCTGAGGCAGGAGAATGGTGTAAACACGGGAGGCGGAACTTGCAGTGAGCCGAGATCCAGCCACTGCACTCCAGCCTGGGCGACAGAGCAAGACTCCATCTCAAAAAAAAAAAAAAAGAAGGGGAGAGATTTCCTGGCATCCCGTTGACATCTGGGCTTGGCACAGGCTCTTGCAGTTCCTCTCTAGGAGCTGCCAACCTCGCTGCCTTGTTGGGTAGCCCCAGCCCTGGGCTCAGCCTGCTCTGGCTCTGGGCACAGTGTGCAGATCTTGAGCAGGAGGGGCTCCTCCCATAGGTTGCCCGCTGACCGTGGGGCCTCGCACTCTGGCCTCAGCCTGTTTTTCCCTTCCTGTGTCTCACCCACGATGGCGGTGGCTTTGGAGGTGGCATCATGGAGTTTGCTTCTCTGAACACCCAGTTACCCAGGTCTTTCTGGCTCATGCCACTCAGCCGCCTTGGCCACCTGAGCTCAGCCAGCCTTACGTCTAGCCTCCCTAAGTGCAGTCCTGAGTGGGGAACACAGGCGGCCCCAGGACCTTCATTTGAGGATAGTGGCCTGGGAAAGCTGTGCGGGGCCTGCATGGGAGCCTCCGGTTCCCCGCTGCTTGCCAAGGGGTCTGAAACGCTGCCAAGGGCGCCTCACCTGGGGCTGGTTGTCTGTGGTCTCTGCGGCGGTTGAGCGGGAGCCTCTGCTTGGTGCCCCCTGTGGCCGTCCAGCCCCCTGCTGGGCCTCTGTTTTTGGACACCTGCCTTCTTCCCTCGGCCTGTGGGTCCTTCGCGGCTGCTCCTCCTGCATTGTGTGGGCTGCTCGTGAACCTTCCCAGATCCCTGGACTCCAAGATTCACGATAAGGGACTTGGCCCTGAAGCCCGCCCCTCTGTGTTTGGCCCCGCTCAGAAGAGGCCGCAGTTGCCTTTTCCCTGCACCTGAAACCCACGGTGTGCGCGTGGCGGTGTGCGCGTGGCAGTATGCGCGTGGCCCTGGAGGTGGCGGCGGGTGTGGGCAGGGCTTGGCACCGACAGCAGCGGTTGTTGGCTCTGCCGGGTGGCTGTGCCCGTGAGACGAGCCTTCATGGCACTGAACTGGAGTATTGTTTTGCAGTGTTATATTTGTGAATAATTTTGCCTTTGGTCCTGAGGTGGATCACCAGCTGAAGGAGCGGTTTGCAAACATGAAGGAAGGTAAGGCGCCCTCCTCACCGGTCTGTGCTGGTGTGACGTGATTGAGGAAGGGCGGCCGGGAGGTCCCCGCAAGTTGTCCTGCAGAAGGCAGCTCAGACTTGGGGTCCTTAGTCCCCTGGGAGCCAGGCGGTCTTCCTTCGTGCTTTTTTTTCTTTTTTTATTGAGACAGTTTTGCTCTGTCTCCCAGGCTGGAGTGCGGTGGTACAATCTCTGCTCACTGCAACCTCCGCCTGCCGGGTTCAAGCGATTCTTCTGCCTCAGTCTCCCGAGTAGCTGGGACTACAGGTCCGTGCCACCATGCCCAGCTAATTTTTGTTTTTATTTTATTTTATGTATTTTTTGAGATAGAGTCTTGCTCTGTCCCCCAGGCTAGAGTGCAGTGGTGTGATCTCAGCTCACCACAACCTCTGCCTTCTAGGTTCAAGCCATTCTCCTGCCTCAGCCTCCCAAGTAGCTGGGACTACAGGCACACACCACAATGTCCGGCTAATTTTTGTAATCTTAGTAGAGACGGGGTTTCACCATATTGGCCAGGCTGGTCTCGAACTCCAGACCTCTGGTGATCTGTCTGCCTCGGCCTCCCAACATTTTGGGATTACAGGCGTGACCGCCACGCCCGGCCCTGGAACCTTCTTGCGTTGAGCCTGCAGCTGATCACCCGGGGCGAGAGTCCCCTTTGTTCTTGACCTGAGCACATGGAACGCAGTGTCCAGAATGAGCAGGAGCGGGGCTCTCAGCTGTTTTGTTTTCTCCCTCCGGAGAAAGGTCACCAGGCCCATGCAGGGCCCTTCATGCTGTTTTCTGAACCCCAAGCCCTGGCGTAGTTTCAGGAGCGGATAACTCAACCCATCACATCAATTCCAGTCCTGCAGTTGAGGGTGGGACCCAGATCACAGCCTGTGGAGTGCCCCTTCCCCTAAACATGGAGACTGAGCGTGCCATTGTCCCCCAGCCCCTGCCAGCCCTCCAGCAGGACGCAGGGCAGGTTTGGGGTCTTCCTTGAGGGGACTGTGCTGCCTGCCTTCCGAGGCTCTCCACCAAGCCTTGCAGCAAGCACCACCGCGTCTGTGTACTGGCCACTGCCAGACTCGGAGCCAGGTGCTCTGGAGGTACCCCCTCTCCCTCCCGACTGCTTCCCACCTGTCCTCTCTAGGGAGGCTTCCAGAGGCTAGGGGAGAACCGTGGTGGGCTCTTCAGGCCTCTCAAACAAAACCCAGAGGGTCTGCAGCTGCCTTCAGCACCAACTCCCCACAACCATGGGGATTTGGAGGGTGCTTGTGTGCATGTGTCTGTGAGTGTGTGTCTGTGTCTCTGCATGCCTGTGTGTCTTGTGTGTGTGCCCGTGTGCCTGCGTGTCTGCTTGCGTGTCTCTGTGTGTGTGTCTCTGTCTGCATGTCTGTGCCTGTGTGCATGCCTGTGTGTGCGTGCCCGTGTGCCTCCCTGTCTATGTATGTGTTTGCTTGTTTGTTTCTGTGTGTGCATGTAGGCCTACGTGTCTCTGTGCATCTGTGTGCCTTGAGAGTTTATTTGATATCTGTGTGTGTGTGTGTGCGTGTGGCAGTGGTGTTTCTGAATTATCTTAGAGCTACATGAGGACACCATGCTTCCCCGCCCAGTCGCCCCCACACCTCAGCAGCACTCCAGGCCTCCCTGCACTCTGCCACCGCTCGCAGGAAGGCAGCAGTGGCCGCAGGCAACTCCTGTCACCCCCTCCGTGGTCCCCGTACCTGCTAGAACGCCTCTTCTGGCTGTTTCTCGCTAGCTTTCTCTGCACGCTCAGACGTGGTGGCTGGGTCAGGGTACTGCAGTGGCGTCTCCTGTCCAGCCCCTCCCTGTTTTGAAGGGAGTGGCCAGCAGCACTGATTCTAGGGACCCTGAGGATCCTAGACGTGCCCGTTAGCATCTGTCAACCTGGCTCTGCAGCCATTTGACTTGGCCCTGCTCATGTTTGAGGTCCTCTCGTAGGGATACTGGCCTAACCCGTGTGCCCAGCCTGGCCCCGGAACTGCCCTTCCTGCCCCTCCTGAGGGGAGTGGCGTGCAGAATGCCAGGCCTGGGCTGGCGCGGCTTCTGGGAAGAGAGCTGGGATGGCGGGGTGTGTGTGTGTTTAAATGGATCCATTTTGACTTTTACTTTTTTTTGTTTTTTTGAGACGGAGTTTCGCTCTGTCGCCCAGGCTGGAGTGCAGTGGCACGATCTCGGCTCACTGCAAGCTCCGCCTCCCAGGTTGACGCCATTCTCCTGCCTCAGCCTCCCAAGTAGCTGGGACTACAGGCGCCTGCCACCTCGCCTGGCTTATTTTTTTTATATTTTTAGTAGAGACGGGGTTTCACTGTGTTAGCCAGGATGGTCTTGATCTCCTGACCTCGTGATCTGCCCACCTCGGCCTCCCAAAGTGCTGGGATTACAGGCGTGAGCCACCGCACCTGGCCAGCGTAGTGGGTTTTGAAGAAACTGCCTTACACACGTTGGCTGGCCTTGCCTTCCTCATTTAACAGGAAATCCCGGGAATCATACTGGACAGCGCAAGCTCCTTTCCTGGCGCATCTTGCAGCAGTGGCTGCCCAGGGCTCTTCCGCAGCCGCGTCCCCCGCTGGGCTGAGTTGCTCCTCTTTTGGGAGGTTCCTGTGCAGAGCCCATTTCACGCAGGGAAGCCCTGGCTCAGGGTCTGGGCTGCTTCAATTTTGTGAGGACTTGAGAACTTTTTTTCTTTTTTTGGGGCTGGTAGGGGGGTTGAGTCTCGCTGTATCATTCAGGCAAGGAGTATAGTAGCTGTATCTTGGCTCACTGCAACCTCCGCCTCCCAAGTTCAAGCAATTCTTCTGGCTCAACCTCCCGATTAGCTGGGATTACAGGCATGCATGACCACACCTGGCTAATTTTTGTATTTTTTTAGTAGAGACAGGATTTTACCCTGTTGGCCAGGCTGGTCTGAAGCTCCTGGCCTCAGGTGATCCACCTGCCTTGGCCTCTCAAAGTGCTGGGGTTACAGGCATGAGCCACCACACCATGCCAAGAACGTTTTTTAAGAAACGTTATTTGTAGGAGGTTGGGCACGGTGGGTCACGCCTGTAATCCCAGCACTTTGGGAGGCCGAGGCAGGCGGATCACCTGAGGCCAGGAGCTCCAGACCAGCCTGGCCAGCAGGGTGAAGCCTGTTCTCTACTAACAATGCAAAAATTAGCCAGGTATGGTGGTGCGTACCTGTAATCCCAGCTACTCAGGAGTCTGAGGCAGGAGAATCGCTTGAACCAGGGAAGCGGAGGCTGCAGTGAGCCGAGAGGCTCTGTCGCAAAAAAAAAAAAAAAAAGTTACATGTAGGATAGGCTTACCCTTGGAAGGTGTAGGCAGGTGGACAGGACTCGGAGCCCAGTGTGTGTGTGTTCCGTGTCGTCGCTCCTTCTCTGTCACCTTGAGTGGTGTCTGCGCCTCTGTTTCCTCTCCCCTGTGTGGCAGTAAGCAGTGTCTGTGTTTCAGGTGGCAGAATCGTGTCCTCGAAACCCTTTGCACCTCTGAACTTCAGAATAAACAGTAGAAACTTGAGTGGTAAGAAACTCTCAGCATTGTTAATGATTCACACGGGTAATTTTAACCATCTGACATGTGCTATTCCTAAGTTTCTCCCCCTTGGCCCTGTGGAAATTGGGGCTGGATCCTTCTCTGGGGTGGGGCTGTCCTGGGCACTGCAGGGTGCTGAGCCGTGTCCCTGGCGTCCACCCACTCCCTGCCAGGAGCACCCCTGGTCATGACAACCACACATGTCCCTAGAGAGCACTGTGTGCCCTGGGGGCAGCATCACTCCTAGGGGAGACCCCGGCTTTGAGGGGAGACGTGAAGGATTTACGGGACTCTTGTGGACAGGGACAGGCCCACGATGGGAAGGAGCTGGCCCCTCCTGTGCCCCCTGCCTGCCTCGCTGTGCTGCGTGCTCTGTCGGCTCCCGGCCATGCTGGGCAGCACAGCCTCTTCTGAGGGGCTTCCCTGAGGAGCGCCCACCTGGGAGGTGCCTGTGTTGCTGGGTGCTGGCTGTTCTTGCAGCCACGATCTAAGTTGCTTCCAGATCTTCTCCCCCTCCTTTTCCATTCCACTCAGCTAGGTTTGTGGCTGTTTTTCTGAGGCTGGAGGGCCCCAGACCAGGTGCTGTTGAATGGTTCATCTCCCTGGGACGGCCTCTGTGGGCCGCTGTGGCCTGACTCAGTGTGGGAGAAGAGGGAAGACATGCAGCTCAGGCTTCTGTCCCCACACCTGCCCTTGGGTGGGTGAGGTCGGCATGGAGGGGCTGCGGGTGGACGTGGGCCCGGGCCTCACCTGTGGCTCCCACAGACATCGGCACCATCATGCGCGTGGTGGAGCTGTCGCCCCTGAAGGGCTCGGTGTCGTGGACGGGGAAGCCAGTCTCCTACTACCTGCACACTATCGACCGCACCATAGTGAGTGTCTTGTGCCTTTCGCCCCGCCCACGCCACACCGCCCGCCTTTCTCACGTGGCCTCTGAGACCCTCCCCCAGAGCCCTGAACGCGCACCCCCACCCCTCCACGGCTCAGGCCCAACTCCTCAAGGCCCCCTCAGCACTGCTTGCTCCGCGGGACCCACCAGGGTCCTCCCAGGCGCTGGGCGTGTCCTGGGTGAGGGCCGAACACTGTCTCCCCTTCTCTGTGCTCAGCCCTGGGGTGAGGTGGGGCCATCATCGTGATGCGTGACTGTAAGGGTCCTGGCCGCCATATCCAGAGGCCCCTGTGAACAGGAGTCCCACGTCCCTGTTCCCAGCTCCCTCCATGTGAGAGGGTCCTGAGCAGGGAGACGCCAGGGTCCATGGGTGGGGTCTGGGATGCTTCTTCCCTCCCTGTGTTCCCCAGGGTCCTCTGACACTGCCCTGGGCCAGTGTTCGGCCTGCCTGCCTCCCAGGGTGCTTCCCCCACAGCCCCTTCGCACAGGTATCCCGAGCCACCTGGCGTGTGGGCAGCGCTGGCCCTCCAGGGCTGGGAGGCTTCCCCTGGTCTCTTTCTCGTCCTTTGGTTGGGCAATCTGTTCTTGTTATTGGGGTAGCGGTGGTTTTCCTCACGGTGGTGCTGGTGTGTCCAGACCCTCACTGTCCGGCGCTCGGAGCCTCCACTGGAGCCTTGCTGGGGAGCGCTGGTGCGGACTGGGGGCCGACAGCCCTAGTCAGACTCACCCCGCCCCTCCCACTGCTTCCCCGAGGGCCCTGGGACGAGAGGCATGGTGAGCTGAAGCTGAGGCTCTGGGGGCTTGGCCTACCGTGTGGCCCCCACCCCCACGCAGTGCTGCTGCTTCAGCCGCCCTGGCACTGATGCCCTCGGCGTGGCCCCTCCCCTCCTCCTGTGAGGCGGGCGCGGTGCTTCTGTGCAGAAAGCCCTTCCTCTTCCAGAAGCAGAGACACATCTTGGGGCCCCGTATCTATTCTGAAGGCTCAAACCAGCTCTGCCCACCCGTCGCGTGCTGGTGAATTGAGGGTGATGTCTGGCCACAGCTGGGTTAGTCACATCTGTGTTTGCTGCTAGGTGGCTCCAGCTGCATGCCTGGTGTCCCCAAATACCAGAACGGCCTCCCCCGCCACTCTCCAGGGAGCTGATGTTATCTGGGTGTCCAGGCAAATCAGAACAGAGATTGGGACTCCCTTCTAATAAGGGTTCTCTTTCTTCATTTTAGCTTGAAAACTATTTTTCTAGTCTGAAAAACCCAAAACTCAGGGTAAGTTTGTGTGTTTTTTCTCCTGGGTTAATAACATGCATGCACTGATGTGGGGAGACGCAGAGCCGTGCGCAGCCGGGTTCAGGAGCCATGACTGGAGCATAGCCCTGCTGCCCTTCAGGGCCCAGCCCAGTGGCCTTTCCCGCCTCCTTCCTGCTCCTCTCTGTCATTCCTGGTCCTCTCCCTACCCTTTCCTCCCTGTCCTCCTGCTCCTCCTCTCCTGTCCCAGCCCTTCTCTCTCACCATTCAGTCTCTCTCTCCCACCCTGCCTCTCCCTTTCTCTCTCTCTGCCACCCACTCTCTTGTCTCTTTCTCTCCCTGTACTTTGCCTTGTCTTCGATGGTTTGGCCTGGGCCATCCTTCTTGTTAATACCCATTTCTGGGGAGGTGGCTTGGGTTAGTTTTGGTGATGGGGTAAGTTGCACTGAAGGGCTGGGTGGGTGAACAGCTTGTGCATCACTGCCAGCTGCCCCCTCTTGAGGTCTGAGTGGCCACACCTGCACTTGTCCCACCCTCAGTGCAGAGTGCAGCTCCTGGGCCCCCGCCGCCGTGCACGCTTTGCACTGTCGCAGGCAGGGCTGTCCCCTCCGCTCCCACCTTAAAGCCGCGGTAGGAAAGCCTGGCTCAGGAGCCGCAGTGGCTGCCCTGCTCCCTGGTGCTTCTGCAGTCTCATACCTGCCTGCTTATTTGCCACCAAAGCTGAGAAGACGTTTGTCCAGGTGTCCTTTCCTTTTGGAGGGTCAGATGGGACCAGTGTGTAGAGAGCCCCATTCGGGAAGGGCTCTGTCACTGCCTGGATTTGTAGCTGGGGCTGGGCTCCAACCTGGCCTCAGAGTATGGTAACCCTCGGGGGCCCTCTGTCCTTCCCACCATGCTTAGGGGGATGCAGGTCTTCCCTGAAGAGCAGGGAACAGCCCGAGGTGGCTGGTGCCCCCTGTGTTCTTCTCGTGGGTCGCGCCCTCCGCCAACTCTTACATCAGAGAACTTGTGCACGGTGTCCCGCGTGTGGGCCTCGGTGCCTTTTGAAGAGAGGAGAGAGGGTAGGGGAGGCTGTGGGCTGTGGTTTCTAGGTCCTGCTGCCCGAGGGGCTTCTCGTCTCCTTTCTTAGATGTGGTTCTTCTCTCCGTGGCTCACAGTCTGGCTTCTTACTGACGGGTGGCTGTGATCGTGGGAGTGGCTGTGAATGCCATCATCCGTGCCTACAGGTCACGTCCTGGCCTGTGGGACCCCAAGCAGCCCACTGCTGTCTCTGGGCCTCAGTTTCCTGATTGGTGCCACAAAGGACTTGCAGTGGACAGAGTTGGGCCTGTGGCCCCCTCGAGTCTGAGCTCCGCGTGCCTCTCGGTGTAGGAGGGCTGTGGGCAGCGCTGGGGCTCCCCGTGGCTCAACCCGCTCTCCTTCCAGGAGGAACAGGAGGCAGCCCGGCGCCGCCAGCAGCGCGAGAGCAAGAGCAACGCGGCCACGCCCACCAAGGGCCCCGAGGGCAAGCTGGCCGGCCCCACCGACGCCCCCATGGTAAAGCCCGGCCTGGCTCCTGGTGCTGGAGGGCACCTGCCCGCTGCCCGGGAGACCTCATGGGCGGGAGGCTCGGCGCCCACCTCTGTTCTTCTTTGTGTCCTCCAGGACTCTGGTGCTGAGGAAGAGAAGGCAGGAGCAGCCACCGTGAAGAAGCCATCTCCCTCCAAAGCCCGTAAGAAGAAGCTCAACAAGAAGGGGAGGAAGATGGCTGGCCGCAAGCGCGGGCGCCCCAAGAAGATGAGCACTGCGAACCCCGAGCGGAAGCCCAAGAAGAACCAAACTGCACTGGATGTCCTGCACGCCCAGACCGTGTCTCAGACGGCAGCCTCCTCGCCCCAGGGTGAGTTACCCCTACGCCACGGCCCCGTTCTCCCTGAGTGCAGATGCCTGGGGGGCCGTCTGCTGGGACGCCGCCCTCCTGAGCCCCAGGCGTTCAGGGTGTCCCAGGAGCCTCCCTGGTGGGGCTGTGCCTTCAAGGTGGCCCCGTCCTAAGGGGTTGCTGGGTACCTGCCCCGTGCTGATGCCCTGTCCACCGCTCTCACCCAGATGCCTACAGGTCCCCTCACAGCCCGTTCTACCAGCTACCTCCGAGCGTGCAGCGTCACTCCCCCAACCCGCTGCTGGTGGCGCCCACCCCGCCCGCGTTGCAGAAGCTGCTAGGTGAGCTCACGCGAGGGGTCTGGCGGAGGGTGCTGGGCTTGGGGTCCCGGGAGGACCGTAGGTTGTGAGTCTGACCTCGCAGCAGCTTAGGGGTGCTGCTGGTACGGGGTGGGATGCTGCTCAGGGCCCTGCAGTGCCCACGATGTCCCCACGCAGCGAGCACTCGGCTGTGCAGGGGTCAGAGGGCCTGAGTGCTCTGAGAGCCCGGAGTGTGTGGTGTGGGCCCCGCCGGGCTCTGCTGAGCTCCTGCCTCATGAGCGCCTGACACCTGCCGAGGCCTGGGGCTCGTTCTCAGGGGCCGCTCCCTCCTCGTCCCGCTCAGCCTCAGCTGTTCTCTTCTCACTGGTACTCCGCCTCTCTTCCCAGAGTCTTTCAAGATCCAGTACCTGCAGTTCCTGGCATACACAAAGACCCCCCAGTACAAGGCCAGCCTGCAGGAACTGCTGGGCCAGGAGAAGGTGGGTCCTGGCCCCCTTGTCGTTCCTCCTTCCTGCACAGAGGCAGGTCGGTTCCTGTTCCTGGGCATCTGTCCGCTGTGGCAGAGGCCCTGGAGCGCAGGCCTGAGTGAGCTCCCTCCTCCTCTCACCTGCTGCGAGAAACAAACCTACCCGTTTAAACCCAAAGAATGGACTGAGAGACCCGGAGAACAGCAAAAATGAGACTGTTAATCATGGTTTTGCAAGACCTGGTGTCCGATAGGCACACCCTGCTCAATTTTAACAAGCAACTTAGCCCGTAGTGCACAGGTCCCTCCCCCGGTTCCTCAAAGGCTGAGTACTGTGCCTGGACATTGCCTGTTGGTTGCTCGGCAGGGGCTGTAGGTGTTTTGTTTTTCTTTTCTTTTTTTTTTTTTTTTGAGGTGGAGTCTCGCTCTGTCGCCCAGGCTGGAGTGCAGTGGCGCGATCTCAGCTCATTGCAAGCTCTGCCTCCCGGGTTCACGCCTTTCTCCTGCCTCAGCCTCCCCAGTAGCCGGGACTACAGGCCCCCGCCACGACGCCCGGCTAATTTTTTGTATTTTTAGTAGAGTTGGGGTTTCACTGCATTAGCCAGGATGGTCTCGATCTCCTGACCTCGTGATCCACCACGCCTGGCCGTAGGTGTTTTCTTTAGGGTTGTCCTGCTGCATTTTGTGCATTGCAATCCCAGTCAGCTCAGGGGCTTTTCAAGTATTTGACTTATGACCTAAGTAGCTGGGCAGGCTGATAAGAACAGACAAAGCGAGCTATTTTGCAGACTAGTAAACCTTCATCTTAGACTAAACTTCTTTGATTCGGGTGAGGGCAACTAAGCGGGGGGAAGGGGAGGCGGCGAGGCTGACAAGAGGCATCAGCGATCCAAGCAGGGGCCTAGTGCCTGCTGTCTTCTGTAGTTCGCTGACCTAAGCTGACTGAAAGCACTTTGTCCTGAAAATGGACCACTGTATCCATGATTTCTTTCACCTGAGGTCCCGGCTGTGGGGCCCCGCCCATCCCACTCTGGGAGCCTCAGAGGACCTGCCTCTGGGGAGTTAGGCCTGGGCTATGGGGTGGAAGTTCTGGTGGCCCAGAGATAACTCCAGAAGCCACTGGAGCCACAAGGTCAGTGGTCCCTGAGCCCTGGTTTGCATTTTTGGACTTTGGTTTTGCTTTAGGAAAAAAAAAAAATGCTTATAGCGTGCTTTGAGCATACGCACATACATTGCTCCCTGTGTAGCCGACAGCACGCCTGGGCCGGGGCCCTGTTCTCTGCTAGTGTCTGGAGGTTGTCCTGTGTCGATGGCTCCTGGGCTCTTCCCTTGGAGGTGGGCCTCCGGACGCTGAGTTTTTGCTGTTACGCTGCAGAAGGCTTCCTTGCAGATCCATGTGAAAAGTCCGTTCCCTGGTATTGCCTTGGGATAAACTCCTCAGCGTCAGCCGGCTTCTGCGTGGCTGGGGGCGCTGCCCTGGCTGGGCCCGGGTTGGGTGGCAGGCGCCATCCCTCCAGCTGCAGAGAGTTCTTTGCAGTGAACCTGTCGCAGAGGTGGTCCCCTCCCGCTGTGGCCTGAGTGTTTCTCGGCATCTCAGCCCGGTGTGGGTCCCCTCACACGTGTCTGTCCTTGAGCGCGTCTTCGGGAAGTGTGAGGGGCAGGGCGTGGGCCCTCCCTGTGGGCCCTCAGTCACCTGCCCTGTCTGTCCTGCAGGAGAAGAACACCCAGCTCCTGGGCGCGGCTCAGCAGCTCCTCAGCCACTGCCAGGCCCAGAAGGAGGAGATCAGGAGGCTGTTCCAGCAAAAATTGGATGAGGTAGTGGACCCCAGAGGGCAGGTGGCAGCTGGGGCACAGCCTGGGGTGGCCCACGTCCGTCGGTATGGCTTCCTATTTGGGCCTCTGTTGGGCTGTGTCCCAGGGGCTGGGCTGCAGGGTTGGTCATGGCTGGGGGCTTACTTCACCTTGGAGGCCACCAACATGACCTCTGCCCCACCCCATGTCCCCAGCTGGGCGTGAAGGCGCTGACCTACAACGACCTGATTCAGGCGCAGAAGGAGATCTCCGCCCACAACCAGCAGCTGCGGGAGCAGTCAGAGCAGCTGGAGCAGGACAACCGTGCGCTGCGCAGCCAGAGCTTGCAGCTGGTGGGTGCCGCAGCGCAGGGACAGGGACGTAGAGGGAACCAGAGGGGCCCTGCCTGGGTGGGTGTGTCCCCTCTGCAGACGGGAGGCTCTGGAAGGCTCGCCTCTGTCTCGGGGTTTGTTTGGAGACGAGTCGCGCCACCTGTGAAAGCTTGTCGAGCATGTCCCATCAGGCAGGCCCCAGCCCTCGGCTGGATGGTTTCTCAGCGACCCTGGGTGTCAGGGAGCCACACTGTGTCAGGCTCAAGGTGTGGGGTCATGGGAGCACCCCCCTGTCGTCGTGTGGGTGCTGGAGCTGCCTTATCTGTCCGTGGCGGGTCCTAGTCTCCGCTTGTTCTGCATCCTCAGTCTGCTGTTCCAGAAATGGGGTCTGTGCCCTAAACACACAGGCTGTAGGCTGAGGCGGGTCCAGGGAACTCTGCCCTGAGGGTGTGGAGTGTGCCAGGCAGGCAGCCAGCCAGTCACAACTGCCGCATCCCTGTCCCCTCAGCTCAAGGCTCGCTGCGAGGAGCTGCAGCTGGACTGGGCCACGCTGTCCCTGGAGAAGCTGCTGAAGGAGAAGCAGGCCCTGAAGAGCCAGATCTCAGAGAAGCAGAGGCACTGCCTGGAGCTGCAGGTGGGCTGCGCGCAAGGCTGCGCTCCATGGTGTCCAAGCCTCTCCCTTCGGCCTCCCTGTGACAGCGTTGAGGCCCGGGGTGGTTGCTGTGACAGCGTTGAGGCCCGGGGTGGTTGCGGTTGCAGCAGCCTAGGAAGAAGGTAGAGGGGGACAGTTGGGCGGAGGCTTGTGGAACCTGTCTTGGGCCGCAGGCTGGCTGTGTGGCTGGCCCCGCCTCACTCTGGCCCTCAGCTCTCGGGGGCATCTCAGGCTTGCTAGGCTGAATTCGCAGCGCTAACCCAGGATTTCCTGATTTCCTGGCTGCCTCCTTGCAAATCGCTTCTGTAACAGTTCTAGGGGAGAATTTGCTCATTAGAAAAATAGCTGGATCGGTGCAGGGGTTCACGAACGCCTGTAATCCCAGCACCTTGAGAGGCTGAGGCGGGCAGATCACCTGAGGCTAGGAGTTGGAGACCAGCCTGGCCAACACAGTGGGACCCTGTCTCTACCAAAAATACAAAAATTAGCTGGGTGTGGTGGTGCATGCCTGTAGTCCCAGCTCCCAGGCAGGCTAAGGCAGGAGGATTATTTGAGCCCTGGAGGTGGAGGCTGCAGCAAGCCAAGATTGCACCACTGCACTCCAGCCTGGGCGACAGAACCAGGCCCGTCTGAAAGATAAAATAGCTCATACTTTCTGACACCGAGAAATGCATTTGTGGAGGCCAAGTAAAGGAAGTGTGGAGCAGGGTATGCGGTGGGCAGGTGCTCTCCTCCCTCCTCCCGGGCAGGGGCAGGTGCTGGTGGGCGGTGCCCACAGCTGCCGTGCAGCCTAGGAAGCAGCAGGTCATGGGCTTTGTTCCCAGAGCCCTGTCCTGTCGAGGCTGTGCCCGCCTGCTGGCCTTACGTATCCCCAGTGTGGTTTCACTGTTGGTGGACCTAGTGCCCTGTCACCGGACCTCCGTTGCCCTTTCAAATTATCGTACCAAACTTGCTGCAAGGCTGTCCCCGGAGGCAGGCTCCCATGGGCGGCTGACGGACGTCGGGAAGCGCCACCCACGTGCTGCCAAGCCGCTTCCTCACGTGGCCCGGGCGAGTCTCACTAGCATATGTTAGAGAAACGGAAGTCGCTGACCTCGTTACCACAGCCAGGCCCCAGGGTCTGCCTGGAGTAGAGGCCTCGGGAAGAGCGTATTTGGGTTCTGACCATTTTTGTCATAATCTTTCTTCTGTAATAAAGAAACAAAATGTTTGTTAACAGAAAGGAAAGCATGTAACCAGAACAGATAAACCAAAAGGAAAAAGCCAGGCCGGGCGCGGTGGCTCACGCCTGTAATCCCAGCACTTTGGGAGGCCGAGGCGGGCGGATCACAAGGTCAGGAGATCGAGACCATGGTGAAACCCCGTCTCTACTAAAAAAATATAAAAAAATTAGCCGGGCGCAGTGGCGGGCGCCTGTAGTCCCAGCTACTGGGGAGGCTGAGGTAGGAGAATGGCGTGAACCCGGGAGGCGGAACTTGCAGTGAGCCGAGATTGCGCCACTGCACTCCAGCCTGAGCGACAGAGCGAGACTCCGTCTCGAAAGCATGTAACCAGAAAAAAAAGAACAAAAGGAAAAAGCCCCTCGGAGACGCGGCGCCGGGGAAGCTGCCACGTCCGACTGGCATGTCCCTCCACAGGAGGGTGTTTTACACTCTGAGTCTATTTTGAGAGACGAGAGCGCTCTGTATCCTCCTGTTGCTCTTTTTGGAGAAGGTGCTTTCATGTCAGCAAAAACCATCCTCGGCCCTCCACGGTGCTTTATTTGGCGCCCCAGCTTCCCGACCCTGCCTCTAGGTGGTCCGTGGCTTTGGTTTTTCCATCCCATGCAGGCAGCGGGGTCCGGCCGCCCCTCGGGTGTGCATCTGTGCTGCAGTCTTGGGTCCCCGGTGTGGCCCCTGGTGGGGCGGGCCTGACGCCCTCTCTCCTGCAGATCAGCATCGTGGAGCTGGAGAAGAGCCAGCGGCAGCAGGAGCTCCTGCAGCTCAAGTCCTGTGTGCCGCCTGATGATGCCCTGTCTCTGCATCTACGCGGGAAGGGTCCCCTGGGCCGCGAGCTGGAGCCTGATGCCAGCCGGCTGCACCTGGAGCTGGACTGCGCCAAGTTCTCGCTGCCTCACTTGAGCAGCATGAGCCCGGAGCTCTCCATGAACGGCCAGGCTGCCGGCTATGAGCTCTGCAGTGCGCTGAGCCGGCCCTCGTCCAAGCAGAACACACCCCAGTACCTGGCCTCACCCCTCGACCAGGAGGTGGTGCCCTGCACCCCCAGCCACGGTGGCCGGCCACGCCTGGAGAAGCTGTCTGGCCTGGCTGCACCCGACTACACCAGGCTGTCCCCGGCCAAGATTGTGCTGAGGCGGCACCTGAGCCAGGACCACACGGTGCCCGGCAGGCCGGCCGCCAGTGAGCTGCACCCGAGGTGAGTGCCCTGGCGGGGTGGGGGTCTGCACCTGGTGCCTGCCGACTCTGCCTGCTGTGCTCAGGATGTCAGGGGTTCTCAGCAGGAGTGCGTCTGTTGAGGAGACTGAGGTGGGGAGGTGCTGGGCCGGGCCGCTGCCTCTGAGCGCCAGCCTGCGGCCCTGCGTGGCCCTCGAGAGTGACTGCAACTTCTCATTCCAGAGCTGAGCACACCAAGGAGAACGGCCTTCCCTACCAGAGCCCCAGCGTGCCTGGCAGCATGAAGCTGAGTCCCCAGGACCCGCGGCCCCTGTCACCTGGGGCCTTGCAGCTTGCTGGAGAGAAGAGCAGTGAGAAGGTGCGGGCCACAACCCCCGCCCAGGGCTCAGGGAGGCGCTCAGCAGAGGCGGCCTGAGCGAGTTGCTAGCAGGAGGGGTTGTCCTAGTTGACCTTGGGGCACAGCGAGGGACTGGGGTTGACCTGGAGGAGGACATTGTGGCTGAGTTGGGGGGCAGCCGGTAAGGACAGGTCACAGGAGACGCTGGGCAGGTGCCATGGAGGGTGTGGGCTTTGTCAGGGTGTCCCTGGCGCCTCTCAGTTCTCAGTGACAGACGGCAAGTGCTGGTGGAGATACAGAGCCCTGTTTGGGAGGCCGCTGCCCTCGAGGACAGCCCAGGGGGCACTGGCCTGTGTGCGCAGGGATGGAGAGGGATGGACAGCGACGTTGCATGGACTTGGCAGTGCTATGGATGTGGGCCCTGGGAGGCTTGGTGGCCCCTCGGGTCACTGCCCACCGAGCTGGGCGGGCAGGCTGGAGGGGACAGATGGGCATTGCTTTCAGACGGCAGGAGCGTGCTGTGCCTCTGGAGTGTCCCAAAGCTGGTGTCCAGGAGGGCCTGACTGTGTGGGGAAGGTTGCAGGGCCTTGGCAGCGTGGGGACCGCCTTGAGAGAGCTGCAGCAGCCCCCGTCCTGTGGCTGTGGTTCCTTTGTCCTGGAGGGGTTTGTTGACCCACGCCTGGGGGCGGGCCTTCGTCCGCAGGGCCTGAGAGAGCGCGCCTACGGCAGCAGCGGGGAGCTCATCACCAGCCTGCCCATCAGCATCCCGCTCAGCACCGTGCAGCCCAACAAGCTCCCGGTCAGCATCCCCCTGGCCAGCGTAGTGCTGCCCAGCCGCGCTGAGAGGGCGGTGAGTGGCTCCCAGGATGGCGTCCCCAAGGGTCATGTTGAGGCAAAACAGAGTTTGGGGTTCTCGAGACCTGGCTCGCTTTGTGAAGTCACAGACTGTTAAATGATGTCGAGCCTGAGGCAGTGCAGTGAAGGTGGACCGTCCGAAGCCGGGGTGTGTCTGGTGACCTGGGCCGTTGTTATCGCCAGTCTTTTTCTTTTGGGTAAAAGGTGGGTGTGCAAGTGGAGAGGGCCTCACACCTTCTGGGTTGAGGAGGAGCTCAGAGGCGCACCCTGGCTCCCAGCCTCATTCCTCACGAGGCCCCGTTGGCTGCTGTGGCCCCTGTCGTCGCAGCCGCCTCTGGGTTCTCCCCCCCCAGTGCTGTGCATGCAGAGAATCTCATTTTGTGTAGCATGGGTGGGATTTTCTGGGCATTGAACTATTTTTTTTACAAGTATACACTTCAGCGGTTTTTAGCATTTTCTGTTCTTTTTTATTTGATTTTTTCGAGACAGAGGCTCGCTCTGTCACCCGGGCTGGAGTGCAATTGTGTGATCTTGACTCACTGCAGTCTCCTCCTCCCAGGTTCAAGCAGTTCTCCTGCCTCAGCCTCCCGAGTAGCTGGGATTACAGGCATGCCCCACCACCACACCTGGTTAATCTGCCCCCAACCCCCCGAGACGGAGTCTTGCACAGGCTGGGGTGCAGTGGCACGATCTTGCGATCTTGGCTCACTGCAATCTCCGCCTCCTGGGTTCAAGCAGTTCTCCTGCCTCAGCCTCCTGAATAGCTGGGTTTACAGGCATGCGCCACCATGCCCAGCTGAGTTTTGTATTTTTAGTAGTGACAGGGTTTCACCATCTTGGCCAGGCTGGTCTCGAACTCCTGACCTCAGGGGATCCGCCCACCTTGGCCTCTAAAAGCGCTGGGATTACAGGCGTGAGCCACTGCATCCAGCCAATTGTTGTATTTTTAATAGAGGTGGAGGTTTTGCCATGTTGGCCGGGCTGGTCTGGAACTCCTGGCCTCAGTCGATCCACCTGGCTCGGCCTCCCACAGTGCTGGGATTCCAGGCATGAGCCCCCGTGCCCGGTCAGTTTTTTCGTATTTTATACACCTCGGTCTAATTCAGGACATTTTCTTCACCCCAGAAGTGTTGCCCCCGTCAGCAGTCACTCCCTAGCCGTCCCCCAGCCCCCGGGCCGCCGAACACACTCGTGTCCGGGCCTGTCCCTCCTCTTGGCACGTGAGGGCATTCCCTGTGTGGGCGGAGTGTGCCGTCTTCATCGTGCCCAGGTGATGGGCCCCGGCTTGACTCCCCGTTTTGGCGATTGTGAATCATTCTGCTGTGAGCGCTTGGGTCCAGGCTTCCGTGTGGATGTAGACTTGCTCTTTGGCCCGTGTGGGAGTGGAGCTGCTGGGTTCTGCAGTCACTACTGACCTTTGTTGGACTTGGAGTGTGGTGTGGGGAAGTGCAGGGGTGGTGGCCGGTGGGTGTGGTCTCGTGAGCGCCCCCACGCGACCGCTGACATTTGTCCGTGCTACTCAGAGAACAGCCACTTTCCCTGTTGAGGGTGGGCCGTGGGTGGTTTGAGTGGTGCCCAGTACTCCCTCCCCACCGCCGGACCCCAGGATTCCCGCCTCCTGACCCCCCTGCCTCAGGCCCGCTGCCTCATTCACACACAGGCACTGCCCCCCCTCGCTGCACCACCTGCCCGTGGCCCCACTGCAGTTCCCCCACTGCCCTCCTCCCATCCCGGACTGGACGGTGACCCTGGCGGCCTCCCCCAGCCAGCTGCAGCCCTCCACACTCACTGTTTCCAATTGGGTTCTGGGTCTCGCCCCTGACACGAGGTTTTCTCTCTGCAGAGGAGCACCCCCAGTCCCGTGCTGCAGCCCCGCGACCCCTCGTCCACACTTGAAAAGCAGATTGGTGCTAATGCCCATGGCGCTGGGAGCAGAAGCCTTGCCCTGGCCCCCGCAGGTAACGCCCCTCCTGTGCCCTACCTTCAGGACTTTGCTGCGGCTGCTCTTCAGGCAGGAGGGCCGGGGTGCTGGGAACGCAACACGGCTTCCTGGGGTGATCATGGGGGCTGCTGCCCCGAGCCACCAGGCCTCGTTACTGACACCCTTTCCTGCATCCCACCGGCTGGGTTGTGGATCGGGCTCAGCTGCAGCCATCGCGGCCTAATGCCTGCGTCTCCCAATACTGACACCTTGTGCTTGGGTATATTAATTCAGCCCGTGAGGTCGGCCCCAGCGCTGTCAGGGGCTCCTCTACTCACAGCCTGACTCAGGATCAGCTCCACACACAGCAGTGCCCAATGGCACAGGACCGTGGGCCTCCATGCTAGTAGCAGCGTGGTTTCTAGTTTCTTCAGAAGCCTGACCAGACTGCTGTTAGCCCAGTTTCTGCAAAGAGCCAGAGAGGACGCTGCTTTGGCTTTTGTCGACACTGCAGGCCTGTCTGTTGTGGAAGCTGCAGAGAGGGCACGTCAGCGAGCATGGCTGTGTGCCAGTAAAACTTGACTCACGACAGCGCAGGGCGCCAGACCCCAGGCTGGTTTGCTGGCCCCGTGTTGACACGTGGTGTGATGTGGCCGCTACTTCTTTAGGAGTAAAAAGTAAAATGGCCGGGCGCGGTGGCTGACTCCTGTAACCCCAGCACCCTGGGAGGCTGAGGAGGGTGGATCACCTGAGGACAGGAGTTCGAGACCAACCTGGCCAACATAGTGAAACCCCATTTCTACTAAAAGTACAAAAATTAGCCGGGTGTGGTGGCAGGCTTCTGTAATCCCAGCCACTCGGGAGGCTGAGGCACGAGAATCACTTGATCCTGGGAGGTAGAGGTTGCAGTGAGCTGAGATCGCGCCACGGCACTCCAGCCTGAGCAAAAAGAGTACAACTCCATCTCAAAAACAAAACAACAACAAAACGAGTAAAGTGCCGCCATTGAGATAGGAGGCTCTAGGGAGGCTGGGCAGGCTTCACAGTTGTCCACGTGAGGGCCCCGGAGAGGCCGCCGAAGCCTGGGCAGCTCTGCCCTCACAGGGTTGGGTTGTGCCCTTGGGATGAGGTCTGCTTTGCAAGAGGCAGTGACAGTGTCGGGAGGTTTTCAACTGGGTGGCAAACAGCCAACTCCAGAAGCGCCTCACTGCGCCCCTGCACTGAGGCCTCATTGGCAGAAGCAGAGAGGCTGCCCTTTGTCGTTGGGTGGTCATGGAAGTGCACCACTCATCGTGGGCTGGGAAGCGCGGCCGCAGCCTCCAGGGCGGCCATAGCTTGGAGCGTTCAAGCTGAGTTGTCCTCTGAGAGCAGGTGGGAGGGAGGCCCCTCAGCCTTGGGCTTTCCTCATGGTATCTCTGAGATCATGGGGCCAGAGAGCAACTTACTCAGAGGAAGCCCAGCTCAGCGGGGAGCCCGCACCAGGAGGCTTCTTGGGAGGCAGTATCTCAGCTGGGACCTGCAGGACACAGGCAGCCCAGATGGCGGGATGAGGCACAGGGTCAATCCTGAGCCCTGAGCTTGCCCACAGAGCCTTCTGGTTCCACCCCAGAGGGGCCGTTTTCAGACTCCAGCCCTGCTCCCCACTTCCCCGCCTCTCCTGGAGCCCACAGAGCTCCTGGAGGGTGGTGCTCCCACAGCCTGGCTTTTTCTTTGGCGCAGTGGGGCCCAGCATCCGCCTCTGTGGACTGAGCCCGTCCTGTGTTCCCTGACACCCCATGTCCTTCCTGACAGGCTTCTCCTATGCTGGCTCGGTGGCCATCAGCGGAGCCTTGGCGGGCAGCCCAGCCTCTCTCACACCTGGAGCCGAGCCGGCCACCTTGGATGAGTCCTCCAGCTCTGGGAGCCTTTTTGCCACCGTGGGGTCCCGCAGCTCCACACCACAGCACCCCCTGCTGCTGGCGCAGCCCCGGAACTCGCTCCCGGCCTCTCCCGCCCACCAGCTCTCCTCCAGCCCCCGGCTTGGTGGGGCTGCCCAGGGCCCGATCCCCGAGGCCAGCAAGGGGGACTTGCCCTCAGATTCCGGTTTCTCAGATCCTGAGAGTGAGGCCAAGAGGAGGATCGTGTTCACCATCGCCACTGGTGCGGGCAGCGCCAAACAGTCGCCCTCTAGCAAGCACAGCCCCCTGACCGCCAGCGCCCGTGGGGACTGCGTGCCGAGCCACGGGCAGGACAGCCGCAAGCGTGGGCGGCGGAAGCGAGCATCGACGGGGACGCCCAGCTTGAGCGCAGGCGTGTCCCCCAAGCGCCGAGCCCTGCCGTCCGCCGCTGGCCTTTTCACACAGCCTTCGGGGTCTCCCCTCAACCTCAACTCCATGGTAAGGATGGGGACCGGCGGGGCTGGGGAGCACGGCCTGTGAAAGAAAGACCAGAGGGAACTGGGGGGCTATGACTGAGTCTGGCCGTTGTCCACCATCTGCGGCCTGGCAGCCTGGGAGGAAGCGGCCGACAGCTGCTTGCAAGCTTCTTCATCCTTGGCTGTGGGGCCTTGGTGGGGGTGGCCACATGAGGAGGGGGTGTGGGGGGCTCTGGGATTGCGGGGTCGTGTGTGAGGACCAGGAGGAACCAGGATGGGGGCTGTACTGGCCACTGGGCAGGGCGTCAGTTTCCTCAGGAAACCCTGGGGTGCAGACAGGAGCCTCCTGGGGCCATGGGGCTCTCTTGCCTTGGGGTCCCAGGTCTGTGGTGTATACATCCGCTCTGTCTGTCTGCCCTCAGGTCAGTAACATCAACCAGCCCCTGGAGATTACAGCCATCTCGTCCCCTGAGACCTCCCTGAAGAGCTCCCCTGTGCCCTACCAGGACCACGACCAGCCCCCCGTGCTCAAGAAGGAGCGGCCTCTGAGCCAGACCAATGGGGCACACTACTCCCCGCTCACCTCGGACGAGGAGCCAGGCTCTGAGGATGAGCCCAGCAGCGCCCGGCGAGTCCAGGGGCCTGGAGGGGGGCAGGGCCTGGCAGCAGGGGCAGGAGGTGCCTGCTCACTGTGTGCTTGTGTGGGTGGGGAGGACTGGCAGGCTCTGAGGGGGGGGTGCCCTGGACGGGAGGGAGGCATCTGTTTAGTGAGGGGCCTCCCCGCAGGTCCTGGGCCCTGTTCCGGGCAGGGCTGGCCTCCCGGGCCATTCGCGGGGGGGGACACGAGCAGGGCCGCCGGTTAGAAGAGGCAGGCCAGGGAGGAGCTGAGTGCAGCAGGAGGGAAGTTTCAGCAGTGACGCGTGTGGGGGTCTCATCCACATGTCTCGCCCAGTGTATTGCAGTAGCTTTGTTACATGAAATTCATATATTATATTCTCCATTTAAAGTGTGCAACATTACCACTGCCTAAATCCAGAACCTTCCATCATGTTCTGAGAAAATCTCATCCCCTCGGAACACTTACTCCCCATCCCCTCCCCAGAGCCCTTGGCACCCCCCACCCCCCACCCTACTTTGTGTCTCGTGAATCTGAGGGCCCTGGGGACCTCCTAGGAGCACAATCACACAGGATGTGTCCTTTTGTGTCTGGCATCTCTCTCAGCATGACGTCCTCAAGGTGCATCCTCGGCCCCTTTCGTGGCTGGGTGGTGCTCTGCCATCCATCCGCCCATTGCGCTGGGCTTGCTTACCCTTGGCGGTTGTGAGCAGCGCTGCTGTGGCCACGGGCGTGCGTGTTTGTGTTCGGAAGCGAGTTTCCCGTTTCCTGCTGCCTGGGCAGAGGTGCTGGGTGGCCCAGCCCCCTGTGCTCTCCAGCAGCTGCACCATTCCACCCTGCCACCACGGGTGCACGAGGGTCTGAGGTCACCACATTGTCACCGCACTGAATTTCTTGTTTTGATTCTACTCATCCGAGTCGTCGTGAAATGATATAACGTTGTCGGGTTTTTTGCTTTTTTTTTGGAGACACGGAGTCCTTTTTTTTTTTTTTTTTTTTGAGACAGAGTGTTGCTCTGTTGCTCAACCTGGAGCACAGTGGCCAGATCTCAGCTCACTGCAAGCTCCGCCTCCCAGGTTCACGCCATTCTCCTGCTTCAGCCTCCCGAGTAGCTGGGACTACAGGCGCCGCCACCTAGCCCAGCTAGTTTTTTGTATTTTCAGTAGAGGCGGGGTTTCACCAGGTTAGCCTGGCTGGTCTCGATATCCTGACCTCGTGATCCGCCCATCTCGGCCTCCCAAAGTGCTGGGATTACAGGCTTGAGCCACCGCGCCCGGCGAGACACGGAGTCTTAATCTGTTGCCCAGGCTGGAGTGCGGTGGCGTGATCTTGGCTCACTGCAGCCTCCGCTCTCTGGGTTCAAGTGATTCTCCTGCCTCAGCTTCCTGAGTAGCTGCAGCTACAGGCACACGCTACCAGCGTGCCTAGTGCGTTTGTTTGTTTTGTAGAGACAGGGTTTTGCCATGTTGCCCAGGCTGGTCTCAAACTCCTGGCCTCAAGCATTCCGCCTCCTTCTGTCTCCCAGCGTGCTGGGATTATAGGCGTGCACCATCATAGCAGCCCTAAGTGTGCTTTTGGTGGTGGTCTAAGTTAGTTCATTTTGCTACTTTCCCACATGTACGTGCACGTGTCACATAAAAACTATCCTAGCCCTTGGGTGCTCGTTTTGCATTGGGATTGCTCAGCTTAGTGGTTTCCAGGATCTTTGGGAATTCGTGTGTTCCTGGTGTGTTCTTGGGACACTGGATCAAAGTGACCCCATGCAGTGTGTGGTTGGGTGTGGCTTCATGTGCTGACCTGCAACGCTGTGGCATTGTTTGCCACCTGAGGCACCAAGGTCTGAGGGGGGCAGGGAGATGGAGGTAGGGAGAGAGCTGTGTCTGGGATTCTCACACTTCTGTGTGCTGGGAAATTGCTTCTCCCATTCAGCTGCTGTACCTAATCTCTTGGCCCCTTGTCCCAGCAGAGGCCCTGGAGCCCCTGCCAGGACAGTGCCTTTGTGGCGCAACGGGGGTGGATCCCAGGGCCCAGCCGCCCAGTCGAGGCCTGGCCCAGGGTGGCTGCACGGATCCCATCTGGGCCCGGTGCTTCTTGCTCACCGCCTCCCAAGCTCCCGGGGCTGTTGGCTTTCAGTATGTGTGTCGTTCTTAGCATACAACTGGGTTTCAAGCATTAATGACCTTTTTTTCTTAACAGAATTGAGAGAAAAATTGCAACAATCTCCTTAGAAAGCAAATCTCCCCCGAAAACCTTGGAAAATGGTGAGTAACAAGTGTTTTGGGGCGTGTCCAGGTGTGTCCGTGCGGCCGTGGTGCCTGGTCAGTGCTGCTGACCCACTGGCTAGCCTGCTGCGTAGTGTCCTGCGTGGGTGCCAACACTGGGGCGCTGGGCTTCCAGAACTGCCTCTGGGAGGCCCAGGGCCTCCGCACATGCGCCGTGCTCTCGCAGTGGGTGGCTGACCTGCGGGGATCACCACCTTGGGTCCCATTTCCTTTGCACCCTGGCCTTCCCCCCGAGTGGTGCCTGCTTTCATCCCCCGCCCTGCCTGCGTCCTCAGTGAAGTCCCTGGCCTGCTCTGGGGCAGCCCTACCTTACCTCCCAGAGGCCTCCTGGCCTCAGCATTTTCCCCAGAGCTAAGGGAGAGCTCATCCTGCATGGCCTTGTCTGAGATCCGCTTCAGCTGCCTCGGTCCTGTCCCATCCCCTGCCATGTCATCCTGTGCTGTACCCCTCCTGTCCCATCCCATCTTGTCTGCTCCCATCCCCTTCCCTCCTGTCGTGTCCCTTCCTGTTCTTTTTGGCATCTTGAGTGTCTGTGGCCAGCCCTGCCTGCAGAGTTGCCTGTGCTGTGGCAGCAGCCCCGGTCAGCCTCGGGGGTAGCCCAGGCGGGTGCTCTGGGCTCACGACCTCTGCCTTTCCTCTGTGCCAGGTGGTGGCTTGGTGGGAAGGAAGACCACGCCTGCGAGCGAGCCAGTCAACAACAGCAAGTGGAAGTCTACTTTCTCGCCCATCTCCGACATCGGCCTGGCCAAGTCTGCAGACAGCCCGCTGCAGGCCAGCTCCGCCCTCAGCCAGAACTCCCTGTTCACGTTCCGGCCCGCCCTGGAGGAGCCCCCTGCCGATGCCAAGCTGGCCACCCACCCCAGGAAAGGCTTTCCTGGCTCTCTGTCGGGGGCTGACGGACTCAGCCCAAGCACCAACCCTGCCAACGGCTGCACCTTTGGCGGGGGCCTGGCGGCGGACCTGAGTTTACACAGCTTCAGCGATGGTGCTTCTCTTCCCCACAAGGGCCCCGAGGCGGCCGGCCTGAGCTCCCCGCTGAGCTTCCCCTCGCAGCGTGGCAAGGAGGCCTCGGACGCCAACCCTTTCCTGAGCAAGAGGCAGCTGGACGGCCTGGCTGGGCTGAAGGGCGAGGGCAGCCGCAGCAAGGAGGCAGGGGAGGGCGGCCTGCAGCTGTGTGGGCCCACGGACAAGACCCCGCTGCTGACCGGCAAGGCCGCCAAGGCCCGGGACCGCGAGCTCGACCTCAAGAATGGCCACAACCTCTTCATCTCCGCTGCGGCTGTGCCTCCTGGAAGCCTCCTCAGCGGCCCCGGCCTGGCCCCGGTGGCGTCCTCCGCAGGCGGCGCGGCGTCCTCCACCCAGACGCACCGGCCCTTCTTGGGCCCCTTCCCGCCGGGACCGCAGTTCGCGCTCGGCCCCATGTCCCTGCAGGCCAACCTCGGCTCCGTGGCCGGCTCCTCCGTGCTGCAGTCGCTGTTCAGCTCTGTGCCGGCTGCCGCAGGCCTGGTGCACGTGTCGTCCGCTGCCACCAGACTGACCAACTCGCACGCCATGGGCAGCTTTTCCGGGGTGGCAGGCAGCACAGTTGGAGGTAGGCAGGGCTGCTGCCCCCGCGCCCCCGCCGGCGGCCCCTTCCTTTGCAGGTTACCTTCCACGCGCTCTGGCGCCAGGAGCTGAGCTGCAGGTCCCCTCGTGCTGGCTGGTCCCCACCGTCCCGGCAGGCACAGTCGTGAACCCCAGTCCTGTGGGGAGAGGGCTCACGCTGAGTCCATGTGTCTTGGGTTCTCTGGTTGTAACCGCGTCCCTCTTGTTTTCAGAAGGCCACGGCGCGCAGGGCCACCAGAGCATTACTTTCTCCCGTGGAGGTCACCTGCTAAGTGTGGCCGCCCGGGCTCTGGAAGGCTCTGGGAGCTGGTGTTGGGTAAGAGCGAGTCCCCGCAGTTCCTGCCCAGTCAGGGCGGAGAGGAGCCGCCGGGGGAGCGGCCTGGCCTTGGGGCTGCTTCGGGGCGGGCGGCCGGAGGGCGGGCAACCGCGAGCCTGGCCGAGCCGCCGTTCGCGCTTGGTGCCCGCACGCGCCCGGCGCCTCCGTTTCGCTTCCCTTTTTGTGAGCCTGCGGCTGCTTCTCTGCGCTTGCCTGGATGCTGCCGCCTGTTGAAGCTGCGTTTTTCTCTCCTGTTTGCAGGTGTCTTTAACCACGCGGTGCCTTCCGCCTCTGCTCATCCGTTTGGAGCCCGTGTCGGCCGCGGGGCTGCATGTGGCAGCGCCACGCTGGGCCCGAGCCCGCTGCAAGCGGCGGCCTCTTCCTTTCAGGCCCCGGCCTCGGTTGAGACCCGGCCGCCCCCTCCGCCTCCGCCTCCCCCGCTGCCCCCGCCTGCGCACCTGGGCCGGCCCCCCGCGGGGCCGCCCGTCCTCCACGCCCCGCCTCCACCTAACGCCGCCTTGCCTCCTCCCCCAACGCTGCTGGCCTCTAACCCTGAGCCCGCGCTTCTGCAGAGCCTCGCGTCCCTCCCGCCTAACCAAGCTTTCTTGCCCCCCACCTCTGCTGCCTCTCTGCCGCCTGCTAACGCCTCTTTGTCTATCAAGCTCACCTCCCTCCCGCACAAGGGCGCCCGCCCCTCCTTCACGGTGCACCACCAGCCCCTGCCCCGGCTGGCCCTGGCCCAGGCCGCGCCCGGGATCCCGCAGGCCAGCGCCACGGGGCCGTCCGCGGTGTGGGTGTCCCTCGGCATGCCGCCTCCCTATGCCGCGCACCTTTCGGGGGTTAAGCCGCGATAAAGACCTTGCTTAGCTAGCAGTGCGTATTGTGTAAGGTAAGGCCGGAGCCCTGCGCCGTGGCTCACTCCAGACACTGAACTGTCCTTCCTTTGGCAGAGAAGATGGCCACAGGGCTTGGCAGAAGTCCCGGGGGTCCTGAGAAGGGAAAAGGGAGAGAGCCAGGGAGACCAGGGACATGGTCGTGCGAGAGGGACTGCAGGACAGGCACCAGCCGTGGAGTGGCCTGAGTGTGTTGAGTTCCAGCTGCCCACAGCTGGGTCCCTGTGGTGATGCCGCAGGACTGAGGTCAGCCCTGGGGGCAGCTGTGCCAGCCCCTGTGGGTGAGGCTTACGGGGTGCCAGGCCAGGGGGCTGGGGGCTCTAGCTCCTAGAGCAGCCTCCAGGGCTCCATCTGCACCAGGCGCAGGTCACTCATGACAGGTGGCATGGCTTGGTGCTGTTCTCCAGGCACCCAGCGTGTAGCAGGCACAGTGCTGGCTGCAGAGGTCCTGGGGAGCCAGGGTGGCTGGATGGATGCCTCTGGTTGGGGCCTGTCTGGCTGGTGGCCTCGGATACCCCTCATAGGGAGCCAGTGAGGCCCCTGGTGCCCCGCCTGCCTGGGGGCTGATGGGTTCCTGGCGGGGTCGAGAGGCAAGCTCTGTGCCCTGTGTGTTGGGGCTCCCTTGCTAGACATGGCTGATGGCGGCCACACTGTTCTGTGGTTGTGGCCCACAGCCAGGGGGCTTTCAGCCGCTCAGATACCAGCACCGCATCGGGCAGGTTAGTGTAGTGTCCACCTTTGAGACCAGGAGGAAGTTGGAGGCAGGAGTGATTTTGATGATGTGAGGCCTTGAGGGACGGTCCTGTCCACTCCTCCCGAGAGTCTGTGGAGACTGTGGCCGCTGACCCAAGGGCAGTTGGCCACCCGTGCCCTCCAGGGACATGGTGTGCCCAGCAGCGCAGTGCGAAGGTGCCCTCTGCTCGTCCCTGGCCTTCTGCCTCGGGGGTGGGCCCTGGGACGCAGGCCTTCCTGGGCGAGTCCAAAGCCCACCGGGCAAGGAGAGGAGGAGGACTGGGAGCCAGGAGCCAAGGCGGAGGCCGTGGCCAGGGCTGGTCGGCCAGGCGGGTCGGTGCGGGCACCTGCGGGCTGAAGAAGCTATGCTGGGTCTCATAGGAGATGAGCTGCAGGTAGGGTGGCTTTAGCTGAACTCGGCTGTGTGTCTCCTTTGGAGGAATGCCGGAGCTTGGCCTGCGTGTCCACGTGTCAGGCTCCCTGGGTCTACCACGGGGCACGCCCATCATCTGTTGCGGTTAGAGGGAGCTGGCACCATGCCTGTCATGGTGCTGGCCCCAGGTGGCCTGTGTGCTCATGGGAGGCCTCGGTCCCCAGCCTGGGTGAGTGTTGGGCTCCCCCAGACGCGATGGTAACCTCAGGTGGTCGCTCTTCCCATTGTGCCCTTCTGCAGGTAACTAGGATTTCTACCTCAACCGCGAGACCTATGCAAGGACGGTGTGGACCAACTAGCGCCCGTGGCATGGTGCCCACCGGCCTGCCAGGCTCCCACCCCTGGATGGCAGAGGCGAGGACGGACGGGAGCTCCACTGTGAATCGGCGGCGCACGCCGCAGGAGGCTGGGACTGGTCCAGTTTGTACTGTCGATAGTTTTAGATAAAGTATTTATCATTTTTTAAAAAGTATAAACAATTCTGACTTATTTTATTCCATCTAAGTGGTAAAAGGCAACCTATTGAGAAATATAAATATCTATATATGAGAGATCTATATAAAGACACGTGTCTGCAGGGCGGGCCCGCCAGCGGATTCGCCGACAGCCTGCCCCGGTGCTATCTCATCCCCAGGCCCGCGCCTGCCTCCACCCGCTTGGTGCTGACTAGACGCTGACAACGCCGAACCCCGTTCTCAGAAACGCCGCCCGGCCAGCTCCCCCGACGCACTGCTCCCGTACCAAAGGCAGGCCCGTCGCCACCACATTCCTCGGAGGCCCCCACCGCGGCCTGAGCCCCTTCCTGAGCCCCTGGCGCCTGCCCTGAGCTCTTCACCTTTACCCCGGCACTGTGAACCCTTAGACTGTTCACCCTCCGGGGCTTGGGTCGCGCCCTTGCACGAGAACGGGTCTGCGCGGTGGTGTAGCTGGCCGCGTGCTGTGCGATGGTGCTGTGAGGACGGCCAGGCACGTTTAACAAGTGCATTTACTTTTGTATTTCTCGGCTGTCCATGGCTCGCAGCGTGCCCTGCGATGTGGGGCAGGCCTGTGTGGGTCCGTTGGTGTTTCTGTACAGGAGAGAGTCACACTAATGAGTGGCAGTATTTTATAGAGATGTGATGAGAATTTATAAATTTCATAGATTTGACAGCTTCTATTTTTAGATGGTATAATGCACAGTGAAGAGGAAAAAAAAAGCGAGGGGAAAAACCTTATTTATTCAAACAGTGCACAAAGTGGCCCCGGGGTCGGTCCCCACCCCAGACCCCTCAGTGGCAGCTCCCAGCAGCCCAGACAGAGCTGCCGGCGCCCCTGCCTGCCCCACATCCCCTTCCTGTCAGGGTCACGCCTGGCACCCGTCCCGTGAAGCCTGTGGTGGCTCTCCCAGCTGCTGTGGGTGTGCTGGGGCCGGGGCGCACTGCTGAAGCCTGGCCTCTCTGGCCTTAGGCCCTAGGGCGATGTCGGCCCCCCACTCTGCAGCCTGGGGGGTGCCTGGGACTGGGTGTGGAAGGAGAGGCGCTGAGCCGGGGTGTGGCAGGCAGGCAGGGCCACTCTGGTGCTTCGGGAGCCCTGCAGTCGGCCTGGGTTGTCTGGGGAGTGGTGGCTCTGTGCCCTCCCTGGAGGATGGGATCTGGGAGTCTGAGCTGCCCACACCTGACCCCGGGCTGTGTGGCACTCCCTGAGCCCACCTTCTCAAGTGCTTGCCCCTGTGAGGTGGCATCCGGGAGCCTCTTCCCCAGGGTGCCACAGATCCACCCTCCAGGTGTCAGCCCTGCGTTCCGGTTCCCAAGGGCAGGATGGACACACATCATGTCCCTACCACGTTTTCCTGCCGCGTGGCCTCCAGAGGGAGCCGAGGAGGAAAGGTTTCTGTGGTTGCTAGGTGGGCGAGTGCTGTGTGGGAGGGCCTGGAAGACCCCTGCTTGTGCCTGGTGGGGGTGCTGCCTCCCCCGGCCCTCAACAACCTCTCAGACCCCTGTCCCCCAATATAGTTGAGTTCTGAAGATGGTGCTCCAGACCTGTCCCTTAGGTGGCGCCCAGCGCCTTCCCCGCCCCGCGTTGGTGCTCTCAGTTCGAAGGTGCTGTGCCTCTGCCTGAGCCCCAAGCCCTGAGCCTGGCCTTCAGGACGGGCAGCCCGCTCCATGTCGCCACGGGCCCGATATGCTGCAGGGTTGATGGCAGAGAAGGCATGGAGTCCCTGGTCTAGAACAAGACACATTCTTTAAACACTGTATCACTTCTGCCTCCCTCTAGGGGACAGTGGCAGTCCGGGTGCCACCGCGGGTCCTGCAGACGGGCCATGCAGGGCTCCTGCCCATGCAGCCCATATCCACACACAGACGACCGTGTGGTCAGGGCGCACACTGGGTCTTGGAGCCACTGGCCCAGGCAGAAGTCTTCTTGAGCCCACTGGGTCACATGCGTGTCACCACACATCAACTAGTGTGGTGCTGCCTGTGGACACTCTCCTGTTCTGAGCCCTGGACCCGTGTCCCTCTCGGGCACTCCCAGACTGAGGGGGGGTGTATGGCAGGTGGCGGGATGGCTGTGGAGCCTGGTGATCTTGGAGCCTGGTGCTGGCACCTGGTCTGAGTTTCCATGGGCAGCCGACGGGGACCTGTGCTGCTGCTGCTGACTGTGGGCAGGCGGGCGGCGCCTGGGAGTGGCTTTTGCTCAGGAATCGATAGGAACCCTAACGACTAGGACACCCTCTCCTTGGCCCACGAGGCGCACACGGTGACTTATTTAAGACTTCCCCCTTAATTTATCTGCCCCCAAGACGCGTCAGTCTGTTCAATGGTCAGCAGGGGACCCCCCGCCCGCCAGCTGACTGCCCTCGTCATCGGTGGTCAGATCCTCCCCCTCCCACCCCCACCAACACAACACGCTGCTGGTCTGTGTCAGCCTTTGTAACACGCGGGAGGCTCTGCCGTGTCTTTCTGGTGAACTGTATTTGGATTGCGCGCATTGTCACGGTCCGCCCCCGGGCTGCGGGCGCCCCTCCCTCCGGGCACCCCTGCATTCTGCATCCCCACCTCTAGACGCTGTAATAAACAGACCGTTTTCACTTGGACCTGGTGTGAATGGCAGCCTTTCTTCTGGGTGGCATGAGGCATCTCCTGGCGGTGAGAGGCCCCGGCTAGTGTCGTCGCTGAAGCAGGGGGAGTGGAGGGCCTAGGGGTGCTCCTAGCAGAAGCTACAGGGGCTGACACCAGGACACCCTGGCCTTGGGGAGGCTTATGACTGCACCAGGCCACAGGCAAACTGCCTTCTGACGAACAAAAAACCTGATCTGCAACCCCAATGACATGAGCAAAGTCCTTTTCACATCAGATGGACCAAAGCCAGCCAGCCCAGGCCCCGGCCACACTGAGAGGACCCATGAATGCTAGAGGCGGGACCCCAGGTCGTCACAGGATTCCTGATACCACACAGCAGCCCCGTTCTCCCCAGGCCTGTGTCCCAGCCTCCACCTGTCCTGGCTGGGGGTTCCAGCCCCTGCCTCTCAGGACCCCGAGCTTTACTTCCCTTGGGCGGGGGCTCCCCAGCTGCCCCTCCCTTCTCCTTCACTTCATTGCCACCCAGTGTGGAAAAGAGGTACCTTTATTTGAACATGACAAGCACCCTGACCCCAGGGCAACCACTTCCCCAGGCGCACAACCAGGGCCCTCCTGTCTGCAGGAGAATTCACAGCTGGTGGGGGCTCGGCCCCCATGCCATTCACAGCTTTGTCTGGCTCTGTACATTCATCAGCGGGGGCAGGGCGCCACGCCACCAGCCCAGGGGCTCGCGAGGTCCTGGATGCACACAACTCAGGCGGGGCACCCGTGGGAGGGCGTGTATCCTGCAGCAGCACTTGGCACCAGGTGCCAGGCCAGTCAGGTGGGTCCTGGGGCCCCGGAGAGGGCAGCTTGCTGGGCAGTTTCACAAAATGCAGCCCCTGCCCACACCCAGCTGGCTTCAGGCTTTGGATGTCTCCAAACCAAAAACCTCCCACCGAAATCCAGGTGTGATGGCTGGGTGTGACGGCTCATGCCTGTGACCCCAGCGACTTGGGAAGCTGAGGCAGGAGGATCACGTGAGTCCAGAAGGTCAAGGTCACAGTGAGCTGTGGCACCACTGCACTCTAGCCTGGGCAACACAGTAAGACCCTGATCCAAAAACCAAAAACCAAACAAAATCCAGGCATGGCCAAGCGACTCACGGCTGGGCAGGGCCAGTCCTGTCCAGCTGCACGCTGACCGCCATGCCCTGCGCTCATGCCTGCAAGCCACTCAGCTGGAACCTGGCCTCCTCGGATATGCCGAACTGCTCCAGGGGGTCCTGTGGGGTGGACGGGTGGCCATTAGCCAGGGCCAGAGGACTGCCTCTGCCACCTGCAGCCCCACCCCAGCCACCTGCAGCCCCGCCCCGGCCCTCTGCAGCCCCGCACACACCTTGCCTGTCACCTTCCGGATTTCGTTCCTGTAGAAGACGAGGCTTCGCCGCATGAACTCGTAGCTGGGGAAGAGGGTGGCACGGGGTCAGCTGCCTGCTCTGCATGGCTGCTGTGCCCACCCCAGCGGTGCCCACCACCGCCTGGCCCCACCTGGCCCGACGCAGAGCCTCCATCCACTCCTGACACTGCTCCTCGCTGCTGCACTCAAAGTGGTACTTCCTCTCAGGGTCCTCGATGAAGCCTGGGGAGGGAGCACCTGTGGTCGGTCCTGCCCAAAACCACAGGAGCAGCTTCCTCTTGCCACTGCCCAAAACTGTTCCTCCTCTGGCCCCCACAAAGATGTGTTCATGTTCTGAACCCCCAGAACCCGTGAGTGTGGCCCTGTAGGGAAATAGGGTCTTGGCAAATAAACTAGTTAAAATGAGGTTGTGGCCAGACACACTGGCTCACACCTGTAATCCCAGCACTTTGAGAGGCCGAGGTGGGAGGATTGCTTGAGCTCAGGAGTTCGAGAGCAGCCTGGGTGACATAGCAAAATCCCCATCTCTACAAAAACAAAAATTAGCTGGGTGTGGTGGTGGGGCCTTGTAGGCCCAGCCACTCTGGAGTCAGAAGTGGGAGGATCACTTGAGCCAAGGGGGTTGAAGCTGCATTGAACTGTGATCACGCTACTGCACTCCAGCCTAGGAAACAAAAGATTCTGTCTCAAAAATTAAAAAAAAAAAAAAAAAAAAGAGGGCCAGGTACAGTGGCTGGAGCCTGTCATCCAGGCACTTTGGGAGGACAAGGCAGGAGGATCACCTGACGTCAGGAGTTTGAGACCGGCCTGGCCAATATGGCAAAACGCCGTCTCTACTAAAAATACAAAAATTAGCTGAGCATGGTGGCGCACGCCCGTAATCCCAGCTACTTGGGAGGCTGGGGCAGGAGAATCACTTGAACCCTGAAGGGGGAAGTTGCAGTGAGCCTAGATCACACCACTGCACACCAGCCTGGGCGAGAGAGCAAGACCCTGTCTCAAAAAATAAATAAAAAATAAAGTAAAAAGTGGTTGTCAGGGTGCGCCCTAAATTCTGCTTGGCGTCTGTGTAGAAGGGGAAATGTGGGCACAGACGTGATGCAAGGATAAGGTGACACTTCCACAAACCAAGGAACCTGGAGGATGCTGGCCGCCACTAGGAACTGGGAGATTCCCTTCGGCCTCAGAAGGACCCAGCCCCACCAACACCTTCATCTAGGACTTCTGGCCTCCAGAACTGTAGAGAATGTTTCTGATCTCTAAGCCACCTGACCTGTGAAAATTTGACAGCCACTCTGGCAAACCAGCAGGGACTCCATCTTTGCCCGCAGAAGGGAATCTCTTAAGACCCAGGAGAACACCCCCCTCTCACTTCCCCTACCCCCACCTAATGCTAGACCCATGCTAGTTGTGGCAGTTGGGAAACCCTTTGGGCGGGGCTGGCCCAGCCTCTCTGTGAGTACAGCCTGGGCCCACAGGGAAGAAAGAGCACAATCTGGAAGGTACCCAAGCTTAAGTGGACTTGGCAGGTGGGCAGGATGGTGCCCGCCAGGAGAACCTGACCTTGAACTGCCCGTGGACAAAGCATTCTTATGTCTGGGGAGGGTGGCGCCAGGCTGGGGACACAGTGGAGGCCTTGAGCGCCTGGGGAGGGGACAGTTGCAGCGCTGCTGGTGCCCCGGGCTGCGGGAGGCGCCGCTGGCTTCCCTAGCCCCACTCACTGATGGAGAAGGCGCCAGGCTCTTCCCGGATGACTCTGCAGCGCTCCAGCAGCAGGGCTCCGACGGGCTGGAGGAGACACGGGCGCCGGGACGGAGCCGTGAGCACCCGGCCTCCGCGGGGCCCAGCCTGGGACCCGCCCGCGCGCCCTCGACGCCCCTACCTCGGCCTCGTCTGTCCGGAAGTAGAAGAGGAAATTCACCACTAGCTTCACCAGCCGCCGCTTCAGCACTGCGGGCACAGCGCGCGCTCAGGGGCGCAGGCAGCCCCCGCCCGGACCCCGGCCTCCCGCCCCCGGCGCCCCGACCCGGAATCCGGCCTCCGCCTCCCGCGCCCGGACCGCGGCCCCAGCCTCCCGCCCCTGGCACTGTCCCGGTCTCCCGGGTCCCGCTCACCGCTGCCCTTCTTGGGGCCCCTCATGCCCAGCTCGGCCGCCATCTCGGCCGGCTGCCGGGACAGCGCCTGCAGCTCCTTCTCGTTGTACCGCATGGCTTCGCGGGGAACGGGAACCTGGACCGCGCCCTCCCGGCCGCCGTCCCCGTTCACGCCGGGGCCGGCGCCAAAAAGGTCTCAGGGCGCAGACACGGAAGCACCGCCGGGGCTAGTGCGCCTGCGCACTTTGGGCCGGCCATGCCGCCAGTCTCCAGTGCGTGGCGCTGGCGACCTGGGGCGGGGCGCGGTGCACGGGTTGGTAGCGGAGACGGACAGTCGTTACATAACCATTAAATTGAAATAAACTAGACAAAGGTGGAACAGCATCAAGGCACCCCCGCGATGGCTGGCACCCCTTCCTAGAGCGGCCAGGCGCAGGCGGAGGGAGCGATAACGTCTCCCGAAGAATGTCAGCCGCCCCTCGCGAAAGTTAGCCCAGCGCGGCCGCAGCGGACCAAGGGTTCGTTGGGAGCGTTGTGCGCACGCGCGGTTTGCCTTCCAGGCCGGGCATTTAGCCCCGCCCCCTCCAGCCCTTTCCCTCGCGCCTCCTGACCCTCTGACTTGCGCCGCTGGGCGGGCCGGGCATGCGCACACCAGAGGGCCCGCCCCGTTTGCCCCGGAAGTGCTTTCTTTGCCCGCGACGCGCGTGCGCCGAACGAAGTCGTGGCGGTGGCGGATGGAGGAGGAGATAACGCGGCCTCAGGCTCTGGTGAGGAGTGGAGCCGGTTGAGGGTGGCGGGCGACTTGGACCGGGGTTTCCCGGGGGAAGAGCGGACGTAGGAGAGAGGAGCTTGCGACAGGCCTCAGGCCGAGGGGCGGGCGGCGGCGTCGCTCCCCTCCCTCCTCCCGTGAGCGTCCGGCCTTGTGCATCCTGTAGGCCCCGCGCTGGGCGGGCCCGGAGGGTCGGGCCGGCTCGGAACTCTATTTCCAAACTCCTGGTGGGAGGCCGCGCGCGGGGGCTCACGCCTGTAATCTCACCGCTCAGGGAGGGCTTGGGAGGATCGCTTGAGGCCAGGAGTTCGAGACCAGGCTGGACAACACAGCGAGACCCCATTTCTACAAAAAAATTTTAAAAATTAGCCAGGAGTGGTGGTTGCACCTGTAGCCCCAGCTGCTCGAGAGGATCGCTTGATCCCGGAATGTCGAGGCTGCAGTGAGCCGTGATCACAATTGCACTCCAGCCTGGGCAACAGAGCAAGACCCTGTTTCACAAAATGAAAAAGAAACAACTAAGACTCGTTGGGATCAGATCGGGATCGCGGCTGAAATGGTTTGGGCCTCCTTCCTTGTAGCCGAGAACGCTTCTGCATGCTAATCTATACCTGTGAGTTCACTGGGACTCTGTGATATAACTCCTGTAAGCCTCATTCCCCTTAAAATGGGAGTGACAGCTTCAACACCATGCCAAAGGCGACCGGAAAACGTTAGCTGGCCCCATTTTGCAGGTGCACACCGCTGTGACCGTTGTTCGTGTGTATCCTTGGAGAACACCAAACAGCCAGGGGGAGCTTTGGAAAAGAGGTTGTTTGCTGGGTTTAACGAGAGAATGGTGTTGCCACCAAAAACTAATTCCTTCTCGCTGGTCCAGTCCCAGGTCCCGGAGGCCACCTTTCCTCAATTCTTAAGCTCATTTCCCCTGGTCGTCGTCGGTTTTTTGTCTCTCTGTTTGTTTTGAGACAGTGTCTTGCTCTGTCACCCAGGCTGGAGTGAGTGCAGTGGTGCCACCACAGCTTACTGCAGCCTCGAACTCCCATGCTCAAGCCGTCCTCCTGCCTCAACCTCCCGAGTCTCTGGGACCACAGGTGCTCACCACCATGCCCGGCTAATTTTTGTATTTTTTGTAGAGACGGAGTTTCGCCATGTTGCCCAGGCTGGTCTCGAACTCTTGACCTCAGGTGATCCACCCCCCCCCCCCACTGCCCACAGCCTCCCAAAGTGGTAGGATTACAGGCATTAGCCACTACACCTGGCTCTTTTTTCTATTTTTTTGTAGAGATGGGGTTTTGCCACTCTGTTCCCTGATCTTTACCTTAGTAAATAACATACTTCTTCCTGGATATATCCATTTGTAGACATCATCTGCTGATTTCCTGTCACTGCTGTTGAGATCTTCTCCCTCTTATCCACCCACTGCACCTTCGCCTTCCATATCCTGAATGAGTTTCTGTCGTGAGCACAGTTGGTCATTGGTTGTATTTTCTAAATAAGATGCAAAATGTTGTTGGCTGCTCAGGGCCGGGCGCGGTGGCTCACGCCTATAATCCCAGCACTTTGGGAGGCCAAGGCAGGTGGATCACGAGATCAGGAGATTGAGACCACCCTGGCTAACATGGTGAAACCCCATCTCTACTAAAAATACAAAAATTCAGCCAGGCGTGGTGGCGGGCACCTGTAGTCCCAGCTACTCGGGAGGCTGAGGCAGGAGAATGGCGTGAACCCGGGAGGCGGAGCTTGCAGTGAGCTGAGATCACGCCACTGCACTCCAGCTTGGGAGACACAGCGAGATTCCATCTCAAAAAAAAAAAAAAATATATATATATATATATATATGTATATAAGTTGGCTGCTAAAACAAGTAATGTGTTCAACTGGGCTTTTGTTGTAGCATTCTATTTTCCCTTAAAGCTAATTAACTTTGTTTTTACCATTAGCCTTTCTTTTCCCTACTGTTTGTTTATTTCCCCACAAAGCTCCAGCATCTCACACCTATCAGTTGTGTTTTGCACAGGTTTAAATAAACTGATCTCCCCCTCACCACTGCCCTCCAAGACCCCCGTATCCTCCTTCTCCAAATGGGACTGGTTGTGCTCTGCCTGGGTGAAGCTGGTGTCCCAAACCTTCCTGTCCTTGCTGCCCTGTGCTGACCTGTGTTCCCAGTGTGGCCATCTTTTCCTCTTCCTGCTGTCAGAGCAGAACTTCTGGGAGCTTTGGAAGAAATAGGTGATTTTTTTCGGGGATGGGGGAAGTCCTTGATTGCCTGAAAATGAGTTTATTTACCCTCATAGTTAGAAGTTTGGTGGGGTATAAAAATCTACATTGAAAATCCATATTTGTAGGCCGGGTGCGGTGTCTCACACCTGTAATCCCAGCACTTTGGGAGGCCGAGGCGGGTGGATCACCTGAGTTTGGGAGTTTGAGACCAGCCTGGCCAACCCGGCGAAACTCCATCTCTATTAAAAGTATAAAAATTAGCCAGGCGTGTTGGCAGGCGCCTGTAAGCTCAGCTACTCAGGAGGCTGAGGCAGGAGAATCGCTTGAACCTGGGAGGTGGAGTGTGCACTGAGCCAAGATCGAGCTACGGCCTGGGCGACAGAGCAGGAATCCATCTCAGAAAAAAAAAAAAAGAAAGAAAGAAAAAAACATCTGTGTTTGCTCAGAACCGTGAAAGCATTGTTTTCAGTGCGGTTCTCGGAAGATCAGTTCCTGTGCTGGTTTCTGATCTTGTCTGCTGAGTTTTCTTTGTCTAGTGGAAGCTGCACATTTTCCTGAGTGGTGTGCGGCGTGAAATTCCCTGGTCTCCCCGTTCCCTGGGGTCTTTTTCTTTTCTGATCTTGGTGAGTCCTTGGTATCTGGACAGTTTGGTTCCTTTTAGTCCTGGGTTTTGTTTTTGTTTGAATTTTCTTGTTTTTACGTTATTTCTGTGATCATGTTTTTCATGTTTTATTTTGTTGGGTACTTTTTCTGTTCTCATTCTGGAATGCTGTCTGGGTTCTTGCTTTTCTCCTGTTTTTTCGACACTTGGCTTTCCTTTATGAAAGATTTGTTTGGCTGAGCTTCCAACTCTGGTATGGAATCTTTTGTTTGGATCGTCCCGTCTGTATTGTTCAAGGGCTTTTTGTTTTAATTCAACTTGGTGTCATTCAGCTTCCCGTTCTGGTTTTCTGGTGCAGCGGTTTCCCCCAATAACGAAGGAGGGAGGCAGCAATCTCTTATTGGGATTCCCATCAGTCTCTTTGTTCTCAGATGCGTGTGTTTCTCTTTAAGAACAAAGCGGCTGGCAGCTCTGTGTGAGCGCCACTTCTCATCCGGGAGGCCAACTGCCCAGTGGTCTGGCGAGGAGCGGGGCTTTTCTTTGAGGTGTGGGGACCCCGAATGTTCGTATTTGAGGATTCTTCCTCTTGTGCTGTTTCCCCAGAAAAGACTCCTGGCCTCCCCCTGGGCGGGGGGGCATCTGTGCTGGGCCGCCTGCCGCCTGAGCTGTGCCGAGGAACCGCAGGACTTCCCGATGCCCAGTCGGCAGGTCGTGATTCGGTCCCCTCTTTTCAGCCTGATGCTGGGCCCCGTTGCTCTGCTGGGCCTGTCTCTCTAACTCCAGAGGTCCTTTTATGTCAGTTCTGCTGGAAATAAAGTTCTGATCTAGTCGAGGGCCGTGGGGGATCAGAGCGTGGGACCTTCCCCAGGGTGCCGCCACGTTTCAGCTGCTGGGGAGGGACGGTGCGGGTGTTCAGCGGCTGCGATGGCTAGGCTTGGGTTCAGATGGCTTCTGGGTTTTGGATCAGAGTTTTACTTGGTGAGTGGTTGAGTATTGGTCTGGGTTTGGGTTTCTGTGGGCCAGACTCCACAGGTGACAGCTCCCTGTGACAGCTGGAGCTTGTGTCCTGAGCCAACCACTGGCCGCTGGGGTGTTCTGTCTGGCCAGTTTGAGAAGTAACTAGGCTCGCCCTAGATGGATTTGAACTCTTGGCTTTGTTAGCATTTTGCCATCTAAGTTCCTTTTCCAGGTCCTCCCAGCCATTGGGTCGTTAGAACATTCTGGAAATGTCACTAAAATGTGATGGGAAATAAGTACATCAGAATGGGTTGGTGGCTCTTGGTGTGGCCATCTGCACCTGTCCTGGCCCCAGAAGCTGCGCTGCCCCTTCCCGCGTGTAGGAGCGAAGCGCAGGTCACTCCTGAGACTGAGCCCCGCTCCTCCCGGGTCCTGGGTCCTCCACAGACCGTCTGCTCTTCTCTCCGGCAGACGCTGCTGGCCATGAGGACACATGGGCGGGCACTGTGGAGAGTGCAGGCTTGGGAGTAGAGACCAGTGATGGCTCTGCAGAGCTTAGCCTCAGAGTGGGGGCATGGTCCAGGAGGGGCCACGACCGGGGACAAGCAGGGTGTTCGCATGCTGCTGAATTCTTTCATGAGGGAAGGAACAGGCCGTCCTCCTGGGAGAGGGGAGCGCTTGATGACTCCCCAAGATCTGTGTGTGGGAGTGCCTCCCAGCACCAGGCCCCCCTGGGTTCTTGGGGTGCATCGTGAAAGAAGGCCGATTCCCTGCCTTCTGGCACGTTCCCCCCAGTGAGGGCTTGGTTCGGTGCTGAGGTGCGTGGAGGACTGTGGTTTCTGTGAGGTGTGGAGAGGCAAGTGCAGCCGCGGCCTGGTGGGAAGCTGCTCACTGGGCTCCCCACGCACATCCCCCGATGTGAGTTT